GGGCGGGGCTTGCACTCAGAGGTAATCAGAAAGGGAAAGTTCTCGAAGGCTGTGGTTATCAGCAGACCCGATGGGCCTGGGACGCAAGGCCTCTTTCTCAGGCGTGAGGTGTGGCTGCCTGTGGCTCATCCACACCTAGACCCAGCAGGCCAGTGTTGGTGGAGCCGCAGCCCGGGGCCACCTGCCTCTCGGCACCACTGCATGGGGGCGCCCCCTGACCCTGCATGTGAGGCACAGGCTCACCAGCAGACTCCCCTGAGGGGCCACTGCTGACCCCAAGACCAAACCCCCCGCCACAGATGTCACATTCACGAGAAGAGCACATCCTCCGTCTTCCTAGATGTGCATTTATCTCTAAGATGCATTATCAAAACGACATCACATCCACATTTAGTGAATTATATTTTCTTAAAAAGAAAAAACCTGGGCCTCTCTGGTGGCGCAGGGGTTAAGTCTCAGTGCTATCAAGCTATTGGCAGCCACTGCAACCTGAGTTCGATCCCTGCCCAGGGAGCTGCCCACATGGTGCAGCAGACATCCCCTGTCTCCCTGCTGCTCCCCTCAGCAGTATTTTTTAGTGGATCTGCCTGCCTCTGCTCCCCACTCTGTCTCTGGTGAGTCCTCTCACCTCCCCCCACCTCTGGTCTGTACCCCAGTTCTTGTATGCACCCATAAATAAAATAAATCCTTAAAAAAAAAAACTTCATGAAATTGTGACTGTCCCAGAGGATCTGAAAGGTGGGATGACACTGCTTGGTGACTGAGGATGGAGTCCAGTGCGCGGTGGGCTTCTCTGCGGACCTCCCACGGCCAAGCCGGCGCAGCCCCGAGTCCTGAAATAAGTTAATCCCGGCAAGGACTGAGGAGGTAGGACTGTTCACTTCGAAAACAGTCTGTGAGAGCTGAAACTACCTCTTCTAAGCCCTCCTTCAACCAAACTGTTGAACTGGAAACTAATTTTACACTAATTTGTTTGCAGCGCATGCTTTAATGAGCTTATATTTCTGGATATTTAATTGAAACTACATTTGATAAATAATCTATTAAGAAAACAAATTGGAGCTGAGTATAAATGAGTTTCAGATTTCAGAGGCCAGTAATTACAATTATTGTCACCATTTGGTTTTTCCTTTTTTAACCAATACTGAGCTGCCTATAGCAACATTTCACATTTCTCGAAAATGAAACAATTTCTCTAATAAACGGGCCCCTCAGACATGTGTCGCAGTCAGAACCAGCGGTTCTGGTTCCCCCAGGCGGCCCGAGCCTAGCATTAGCCTCTGTCCTTCCACTTTCCGAGTCTTCTTCAGCTCAAGCCTGGAAACACCCCAAGTGCACCAGGCCCCCCGGAGCCTGGGCCTAACACCCAGGTACACAGTCCTCTCCTGCTCAGGGAGCTCCGAAAGCCTTCCCCCAAATGCCTGCATTGCCTGGAGAGGGACACGGAGCCTTCCAGAAAGTACTTCACAGGGAAGCTAGAGAGTCAAGCTGGCATGAGCGTCCCTGCCCCAGCTTTGCCCACTCCTGCGGCTCTCCCTCTGCCTTTGCCCCCGACATGCAGAGAGCCCCCTCTTCAGTGTCGTGTAGGGAACAAAAGTTTCATTGCTTCCAGTGACATAATCGATATGAAACCCCGAACAGGCTGCAAACTATGAAGCTGATGAGAGGGACCAGCAAGAGGCCTCTACGGACGGACTTAAAAGAGCAAAAGTGTGGCTTGGCACGCGAAGGAAGCGCGTGTGGGACATTAGAGAAAAGGATCCTAGTCATAGTATCAGCAAATTATGCAATGCCCAGGCCCTCTGATAAATGCATGAAAGATAAACCGGAAGCGAGACCAGGAAAACAAAGCGCCGTGTGGAGGGAGAGCCTGCCTGTGCCCGGCCGCCGGGACGCCTCTTTCCCGTCACGACGAAGCTTCCTGATTGTTGGTGTGGGCCATGTGGCCACGGGTGCTTACAGAGCTTGAAATTTGATTCTAAAATTTACCTGAGAGAAGAACTAGGCAAAAAAGTCCTAGAAGCTTTTGAAAAGAAGAACACCAAAGGTCACCTGCTCCCGAGAAAGATGCCCAGGTAAACGGGGGACACAGGTGGTCGTCCAGGAAGCCGATGCCCTCACACCAAAGAGTGATGTGGGCCCCTGCTGCGAGCCACATACACCAGCAGCCGAGAGAGATCAACCATCTAAGTGTGAGGAGCAAAGCGATGCAGCGCTCACGAGGGAGCACAGAGAGGAGGCATCATCACCCTGGGGTGAGTCAGGGTCTCCCAGAGAAGGCACTTAGAGCACAAGCAAGGGCAGGAAAAATAGGTCGCTTGGGCTTAGTCAGAATAATCAGCTTTTATGCTTTAAAATACGTGATCGGGAAAATGCAAGACCACGCGCCGAATGGGAGAAAATACCGTCAAGTCAGGGATCAGCTCAGGACTTCGACTCCAGAATATATAAAGAACTCTCCCAACTCCGCCACACGAAGCAAATAGCCCATTTTAAGATGAGGCCAAAAGTTGCATAGACATCTCTCCAAAGAAGATGCCCCGACTGTGATGCTCAGCACCCCTCGCCAGGACAGAGGCGACCGAGCCACGGCGAGGTGCCCCTTGGCGGCGCGGGCCGGGGACAGCACCAGCGCGGATGCAGCCGGCGCCGGCCAGGCAGTCGGGAAGTCGAGCCTCGCCCGTCCTTCCCCTACACTGGGGATATAAAATAGATCGGCTGCTTGGGAAAACAGTTTGGCAGTAACTCAGACTTAAAACATGTGACCCAGCAATTTCACTTGCAGGCATGTGCTCGGGGACCTCCTCACAGCGAATGCCCAGGAGAACTGCAAACATGTGTCCTCGGGGAAGCTCGAGCAGAGGTGCTCACGGCAGCCTTGCCCCTGACAGCCACAAAGTGGAGACACCCCAGCCCATGCGCCCATGAAAGGCTGTGTCAGAACTCGATACATGCGTGCGATGGGGTGACAGTCCCTGGTAAAAAGAAATGAAGCTTCGATGCCCGCTGCAGCCGGCCGTGGGCTACAGCACAGTAATGATGTCACGGCGTAGGGTGCCCCTTACGTGAAGTGCATACAAGAGGCAAGTCTGGGACCTCCCTGGTGGCTCAGTGGTTAAAGTCTCAGCACCATCAAGCTATCACCTGTCATGGCATCCTGAGTTCGATCCCTGACCAGGGAGCTGAACCACACGGCGCAGCAGACCTCTCCTGTCTCCCCGCTGCTCCCCTCAGCAGTGGATTTCAGCAGATCTGCCTGTTCTGCTCCCCACTCTGTCTCTAGTGAATCCTCTCACCCCCTCGCATCTGGCCTGTACCCCAGTTCATGTGTGCATATATAAATAAAATAAATCTTTTTTTTTAAAAAGGCAGATCTGGGCACAGGAAGATGAGTGTGTGTGAGAGGCGCTATGGGAAGGGATAGCACGGGTAGGAGTCTCTTTGTCGTGATGAAATGTCTTGGAATTAGAGAGGAGATAGTGAGAGGCGGGGATATTACTCAGCCTTAAGAACAGAAGGCAATCTTGCCACTTGGGTGGATCTTGAGGGAATTATGCTCAGTGAATAACTCAGAGAGGGAAGTATGGTATGATTTCACTGATCTATGGAGTATGAAAATCAAAATAAACTAAACTAAAATCACCAAGGCAGGAAGCAGATTTGTGGTCACCGGGGGATGGAACTTTGGGGGTGGGTGATGGGGATCAAGAGGTACAAGCTCCCAGTTACAAACTAAACAAGCTGAGGAGTAGTAACGCACCCCCTGGGGCTATAACCTGTCACCTGCGTTGCACATTTCACTGCAGTGTGTGCAAATGTGAAGCGTTAGCTTGTGCACGTGAGAGGAATGTTGTATGTCAGTTACACCTCAGTCTTTGTAAAGTTCAAGCATCAAGCATGTCTCATATAGTAACAGACAAAGTGCTAATAGCCTGACTATATAAAGAGCTTCTACAGTCAATAAGAAAAAGCCAAGCAAAATAGCAAATTTCCCACTCTGCCTCCAGCTCCCTCCCTTGTTCCCTTTGTGATGATCCTGGAAATTTGCCCTCTGCTGCCTGCTCAGGGGCTGTCACATTTCCGTGGCCACGCGCTCCTGTCTGGGCCTGCTGGCTGGCCAAGCAAAGGTGGTCTTTGCTAAGACGTGTTGTCTTCGCTGTGGGACAGCTGGACCCTGAACCGTGGGGAACGTGGGTTATTGTGGTTGTGAGCGAAGGCACCCTATGCTGAGACGGGCACAGCAGGCAGGCCGGGGGAGCCGAGCACCCTGACCTTCCTGCCAGACCCTCACGGCGGGCACTCGGTGGCCTTGACCGAGGACAGCTGTGTGTGCTTGGTCATTTCTTGCCGTTCAGCCACTTAATTGGGGCTGCTGCGTAGCCGTGTTCAATGATAAAATTACCCTTGATTCCAGGTAGGTCTCTGTCTTGACCACGGACACGCCGCGGCTTCCTTTTGCAAACAGTGACATTGTCGCAGAGACAGGCGGTGGGCGGCATGGCGCAGGATTCTGTCCTGGACGAGAAAATCTTCCTATTTTTCTTTCCTGCTCCGTGGGCTTTTGGCTCTCGGTTGGACCATTCGCAGAGATGCCTCCGGCTCTCCTCGCACTCCCTCCTCCTCACTTGCTTTCATAGCCATAGATTTAAGCCCATTTTCTGACATTTCCCAGCTTAAACACCCTGAGCGGCTCCTCAGGGTAAGATGGCCACAGCGACGGGCTTGTGCTGCTGGGTCAAGCGGAACCTTCTGCACCCGCAGGGCTCAGAGGTGTCAGGGGCAGGAGGGAACCGGGGTGCCTTCTGAACCCTCCTGATGACCTCTAAGTAGACCAGATATTCCTGCAGGCGCACGGTGGGCTTGGCTTTGAATATAGACTCCAGGTCCAATAGTTCATGCCAAAGGGAATTCTGAGCTAAAAATACAGATGGTCGGATCCAGGGCCTGGCTTACTGCGGGACGTCCTGAAGACCTGACTGAACTGAATCTCTCCCTTCCAGGGTCACTGTTACTACCACGGGAGTGTGCAAGGACACGTGGGTTCCATGGTCAGCCTCAGCGCGTGTTCTGGCCTCAGGTAAGTGACCGGGAGGCTGAAGCCCAGGGCCTCCGCTCCCGGGAGAGACGGGGCGGGCCTGCAGGGATGCTGCCCAGAGCACAGCTGCCCACTAGCTCGCCTGCGCCTCTAGCGGTGCCACTGTGCTGGGCTGCTGGAGACTGTTTCATCGATGTCACTCTGATGCTCTGCTGTTCCCAGGACAGCTCTAGGCCCTCGATGTTGACATTTAACACTAGACTCTGGCTTGGCAAGCACTGAAAGGGCCTCTAGGAGACAAGGTCAAGGGGCCAACTTAGCACTCATGGGGGTGTGTGGGTATGGGACCGGGGGGCCAGGCGTGGTCCCCGCCCTGGCACAAAGCAGGCCACAGCGGCCTGCAGCCAGTCCAGCCAGTCCATCCTCCCTCTGGCATCTCCCTCCAAACCACAGCAGCCGCCGGGGCGCGTGTGCTCCCAGAACACCAGCCTCCCTCAGCCTTTCCGCCGGCGCGATCTGTGAGCAAGTGGGTGAGCTCACAGCCGGCGCCCTCCAGGCCTGCTTTGCTCTGGCCGCCCGGCCACACCCAAGTGTGACTCTGACGTTGCCCGGCTACGTGGTGTGCCAGGCAGGGGCCAGGGTCTAGACGAGGTGCGGGTCAGGCTGCATGAGTCCTCCGGCCTTCCACCAATGCCTGCCTCTCTGCTCCCCGCGCACCCACCTCGTTTCTGCCCCCACCGTCAGAGGTCGAGGGGTCTGTTTCCTCGCGTCTCCCCAAGGCCCGACGGGTCTGACCTGTTGAGTCCGTGCCCCTGGGATCAACCAGCATGTTCATGATGACGAGTCTCTGCTCCCAGCCCCGCTCCCAGCCCGCTCAGGGGACAACAGATGGGGTGTGGCCCCCAGTTTTCTTCTCACTCCCATGCAGCAAACAGTCCAGGCAGGGGGGCATCTGCTGTCAAAGTACTCGGGCCACAGCACCTACACCCCAGCCTGCTCTGTCCCCTGACCTGCCTGTCTCCCCGAGTGGAGAGCTGGACGCCCACTTTCCCGAGTGTGTGCACATACGGCTCTCCCACGCGTACCCCAGCCGCCTCTCGTCTCCGGCACCGGGGAGCGGCCCCCTCCCAGGGCCTGGCGTGCAGGCTCTTGGTGCCGTGGCAGTGAAACGCTGTGGCTGGGACTCGGGAAGCTGAGTGGTGCCGTGCGGTGTCGACCACCAAGCCGGTGGGAACCGCCCCCAGAACAGGATGCTGCTCCTGAGAATGTTGACTTCCCAGCTCTGTGCTGCTGTCAGGAAGGCAGGAGACCACGTATCCGCAGGGACACTCTCAGGTTATGGCGTCAACTTTATGATCTTATGAGCAGACAACCAGAGCGGAGGAAGGCTGGGCTCCATCAACTGCTCGCTGGCAGAGGAATCGATTGAGCCTGGAAATAAAGGGGGAATGCACGAGGGTGGCTCCAAGCTGAGTAGATTTTGAGAAAGAAAGTCGGGATTAAAATTATGTTAAAACTTTAAAATCTAGGAACCACGGGAAAGCGCAGGAGCCGTAGGGAAGCGTTCATCCCAGCCCAGCCGTGCCGAGAAATCAGAGGAGGCGCGAGCCACTTGGAAAGGCGGGGCCCAACAGCAGGCAGGAGAAGCTCTGAGGGACCCAAACTGTCTCTCTCATTTGAAAGCTTGAGGGGAAGACAAGCTCCCGGCCCCAGCAGGCAGAGGGGTTCGTAGCAAACAGGTTCTCTGATGGAGGGAGTGGAGTCTGAGGGGGAAACCAGGTCGTAACCACCAGGGCCACTGTGGAGTCTGCTCCTGCGGAGGGTACCAGGTCAGATGCAAAGGTCAGGCCCTAAGTTAGTTTTGTCTCCCATCAGGGTCTCCCCAAGATGCACAGCCCCCCGTAGCACCTCATCAGTGCCAGGTTCCTCTCTGTTACATCTGCACCCTCCATTGCTTCGTGTGTCACCCCTGCACGTGGGCATCCCGGGGTGTCTGGGGGCGCATCCTCGCCCCGTTCACCCTTGACCATCACCCCTGCCTCAGCTCCCAGCTCCCCTCTTGTAGGACCTTCAGGTTGGGGGACATTCTGGCACATTCCCTGGACTCTCAGCACTGGCCTTTTAGAGTCCATTAAATAAAACTGTGCAGACGGGAGGCTGTTCGGTACCTGAAGAAGCTACACATTATCATTCCAAAGCCGTGCATTGATTTTAGCTGTGTGATGAAGTTTACTGCACCGGGTCTTAGATCGTGGAAACAACCATAACACAAGCTGCCTTGACATTTCTCCCTCCCACACAATAGAAAACAGTCAGTCCACTTATTTCTCCAAGGGCAGAATTGATCAGTGCTGTGGTCCGTGGAATCAGAAATAATGAACATAATCATCCCCAATTTAGCCATCAGGGCAAACGCAACCATGTTTAAAAAGCAAAAAGGCCAGCGTGGATGCACTTTCATTATTTACATCTTAACAATTTTGATTGACCCAGCTGAAGAAATCCAACCAGAAATCTCAGCTGAGAAAGTACCAGAGAAAAGCGTCTTAGAAGGGAGAGAAGACGGGCAGTGGGCGCCCGGAGTGAGCCTGTTCCTGCACCTCCAGCGACCCCGGTCCTTGCTGACCCAGGTGGTTTAGCTTTTCCTGATCTCAGCTCACCTTAAATGGCCCCAGCACAGAGGTCTAGAGACAGGAAAGTCGGCACAAGGCGATGCCCTTGCCGCGTTGCTGTCCGCTGGACCCCGAGCCCCAGCAGGCAGGCCCTGTGCCCACTTGGCACTGCCTGGAGCCTGCGTGTGGCCAGCAGAGCATTGGGTGGGATGATGTGCTCTCCCCAAGCCATCACGGGGTCAATGAAGCCTAATCCCAGCCAGTTTAAGTGCTAAAAAAAAAATCCTTAAAGTGTGTGATCATATTAAGGAAGATATGATATTAGCTGGGAGTGGAGGTAAAACCTTAATGAAAACTTGACCTTGATGTCTGCTCTGTGACCTCTGGTCCGCAGCCTCTGTCTGGCGGGGCTCCACCTTGCTCCCTGCAGCTTCCTCCCAGGCGGGTGGTCACGTGGGCTTCCTGTGTAAACACCCGTCGGGGGAGCTGCTGCTGGGTTCAGCGCCCGTCTGTGCCCCCTTCAACCTTCCACTGACCTCCACCCTGAGGGACTCACAAGGCCAAGCCTTGCAACCCTCCCCAGTCTCTTCACTTGCTCAAAATTTGAAATGTCCCAATCCCAGCTCTTCTGGCCCCCCACGCTGACCTCTTGACCAGGTCCCCCCATTTCAGGCTCCCGAGCGAGGACCCTGGGGGTCTCTGGGCTCCTCCTTATGCACTCACCTCCCCACCCGTGCGCTCCCCTGACCACACCCCTTGTCTTTGTCTCTCCTTTCACGTTCCCTGGACACCACCCTGGGGCCACCCTCACTGGCCTCCGCCTGAGCTTCCTGCCTCCACCCTCCCCTCCCCTCCGCACCGCCTCGCTCATCGGGGGCGGCGTTTCCAAGGGCTGGTCGGGCACATCCTCACTCCGGCATGGGCCACCACGGCCTGCGGTGACCACAGTAGAAGCCTCATCCACGCACAGCTGTGCCGCTGCATCCCCAAATGTGCGCCGAGCACCCCCTCCGGTGCTCACTGCCGTGATGGCGCCCCCGCGACGGCGGGGCTGCAGCGACAGCATGCGTCAGGGCCGTGGCAGCCTTTCATGGCGCTCTCTAGTGCACAGAGCTGCGGCAGATACGAGCAAGGGCCCTGAGGCCAGGGATCGCAAGGAAGACCGACTCACTCAGAACTCAAGGTTGCACATTGGCCTAGAAGGTCATTCTGACCGGGGGCTGCCCGGGAGCACCCTCGGGTGGGTGCACAGACAGAAGGCACAGCCCTGCCCCTGCAGCAGCCGGCATCACGAGGCCAGCGGGGCGGCCGCCAGCAGTGACGGCCACAGAACAGGGGAATTTGATAGGGGTCTCCCGGGAGGGCTGAGGGAGGAGAGACGCGGCGGGTATGGGCTAGGCGTCAAGAGCATGGAGGACAGTGAGCCCCGAGACCGCCAGTGGGACCCGAGGCCTAAGCTAAAGAGAATGGCAGTGAATGGAGCCCCCAGAACCTCACCCTCACTCACTGTCCCCCACGCCCAGTGCCCCCTTCCTGCGGCGGTTCCCACTGCCCACCTGCGTGTGTCCTCACCTGCCCCGTGCACACTCTGTGCCCCTTTGGCTTCTCTCTGGCCTGCACTGCTGCCCCTGCAAGGCCCCCCACCTGACCCCCATGCTCCCCACCTCTCCAACTCCTCTCTGTCCTCCAAAACTCCCTTCCTGCCCCCGGCCCCACCCAGACCCTCCCTGGGTCAATGTCGAGCTGACCACTGGGCCGACGGCAGCTCTGGCGCTGCGCTTTGGAAGCTGGCTGTGGCCTCCCGTGGAGAGGGCTGACCACCCGCGTGGGTGGGACAGGAAGGGGCTGGGAGCCAGTGAACGTGGGGACCCTCGGCTCCGCTGCGGGCCAGCTATGTGGCCGGGTCAGTGTCCTGGGCTGCCGGGACAGACAAGCGCCAACGGGGCAGCTTAAAGCACAGGAAACCATTCTCCCACAGTTCTGGAGGCCAGGAGTCTGTGATCAAGGGCTCTGTGGGCTGGAGGCTGAGGGTGTTATAGGACAGGGAGAGGGGCAGCCCAAACCCCGCAAACCTGCCTATTCTACATGGGTTCTGCCATCCGCCGCATCAACACAAAACATAGGAGACTTTAATGGGAAGGAACTTTAATAAAACTAGGAAACAATACAGGTAAGGCAAAGAGTCTAGTTTTTAAATGAAGCACCCAAAGTTACCCATCCCCTCGTGGGTAAAACTCCATCCATATGGGATCGGCCCAGAGCAAGGCCCCAAAGCCTGCCACAAGTCTAAAGCATCTTCCAGTGGGGACCCACAGAAAAGGGTCAGAAACAACCGGACAAGCCCGGAAGGAAAAGAGCAAAATCAACATCAAGATAAAAGCTGCCATGGTCACCTCCCCACGGGTCTCACCCACATCTGTGTCACCCAGTCCACGACCAAAAGACAAGCGCAGTTTCTTCACGTGTCTCTCCGCTCCATGCGCCTCCTCCAGGTCTCCTGGCTCCATCCTGCTTCCTTCCTCAGTCTCTTCTGCAGCTTCTCCTCTTCCTGCTCAGCTCCACCCTCCCTTGGGTGGGACAGGGAACCTCCCCCTTTCCTGGGGACCACCCTGTTACAAGGGGAACTCCATTTTGGGCATCTCTCCTGCCTTCCAGGGGTTCTTTGGTGCCCCCTGGTGCTCCTTGATGTCTCTTGGTGCTCCTTGATGCCTTTTGGTGCTCCTTGGTGTTCTTGGTGCTCCTTGACGCCTCTTGGTGCTCTTGGTGCTCTTCTCTTGGTGCTCCTTGATGCTCCTTGGTGCTCTTGGTGCTTTTGGTGCTCCTGGTGCCCTTGGTGCTCTTGTAGTTCCTTGGCTGTGGCTGCACCCCTCCAGTTTCCACCTCGATCTTCACGTGACCATCATCCTGTGTCCCTGTGTCCTCTTCTCCTGTCTCTTTTAAGGACACCCCCACTGAGTTTCGGGCTCACCGTAAATCCAGGATGATCTCCTCTTGAGACCCTTCAGCTTAATCGTCCTGCAAAAACCCTTTCCCCAAGGGTCACATTCACAGGCACCATGCCCTGGAACTTGGGCATCCCTTCTGGGGAACACGACTCAGCCTGCAACCATGGCCTTGAGTCTATCCTGAGCCTCCTGTTAGTACCATGAGCTCGTGCTGCCTGCTGTCAGGGTTGGGGCAGATGTTAGAGAAAGTCATACATGGAGGGCCTGGCTCAGGGGCCCAGGAAGAGCGAGGACTAAATGCTACTGGTACCAGGTTCCTTTTGGGGTGGTCAGAGTGTTCTGGAAGTAGACAGCATTGATGTTGGCCCGACTCAGTGAGTACTAAAACCACAGCGTCGCAGGCTAATTTAATGGTATGTGAATCAACTCTCAACGAAGTCGTTATTTTAAAGAGAAGCCTGATTCAGGGTTGTCTCTTAGTGAATTGTTGCTGCAACTATTATGATCATTATCATCATCATGGATGCTCTAGTCATAACTGCTCCTACAGTTTGTATAATAGTGGAGCATCTGAGCTCTGTTCCCTGCCTCCCCTCCCTGGCTATGAATCACGTAGCCACGGGGGAATGATGCACATGTCACCTCGTGTCTTCCCGGAGCTGCCCGGCGCCTCACGCACAGGAGGGGGTCCTGACTGTTTGTTTTGATTACATGGGAGTGTTTCACATGGAAATCACTTATTGAAAATAAGCCTCGCGGTGCTTCTGTGTGAGCTAATTTTGCTGCCATCACTGTGTGTCGAGCATATAGGAGGTGGGATATTACTTTTACTCCAAAAAAGGACTGAAATTAAATTTCATGCCAACTGCATTTCCAACTTATGATTGACAGCACGATATTGGACCAAAAGTCTCTTTCCGAGAAAATGCAATTAGCAATTGAACACAGAACTAGCCAAGATAATTCCTGTTTTCTAATCACCAGCTTATTACAGGTAGCGAATTGCATGTGCCATGACCCGCTTGCCCGGGAGCAGTGAGGAAAATCGTAATAAGAACAACCACGTGCAGGCCCGACCTTGCCTGACACGTCGTGGCTTCAGAGATTTAAAATGAATTTTAAAAAGGACACACGCTGATGCTGAGGATGCGCAGGCCGCCTGAGTTTTCACTTTGAAAACTTGCAAAATCGACTTCAAATTCCCGTAGCTGCCTCCTCACTTCCGCCACAGGGAAAGCAGGAGGGTTTTCCACTGGAGCGTCGGGCTGCCCGTTTCAAAGCAAGTTGGATCTCTGTCCGCTATCGACTCCCGCCTCCATCATGCTCGCTGGTCCCTGTTCTGGGGCCCACATCCCCCCAAACCAGCACTGGGAGGAGGCGGGACAGCTTGGGGTTGGAAAGCACAGGACTTGGATACGTGGGTCCAGATCGGGTGCCAGCTCTGATCGCGTTATCTGTGAGCTCTTGACCGTGGGGACGTGGCCAGAGCAGCAGCTGTGTGAGGATCCTTGGACAGTAACCGTGATGGCCCAGAGCCTGGGTCCTAGGAAGGGGGCGTAAGGGCTGGTCCGCATCACCCCGACCGCCCCTTCTTTTCTGCCCGACACTCACAACACCCAAATCAAGCACGGACCTTGGCCTCACCCTCCCGTGGCGGCTGGCCCAGTGTCTCCCCTAAAAAAGGTATCAGCTGTTTCCATCTCCCCCACCCCTCCATGGGGAAAAGAACTCCGCATTCAATATCTGCTAGATTTACATCCCATGCTCCGAGATACTTCCAGCTCCAAGTTTGCAGCTTAATATTTATGACATTCCGTTTCCATTGCATTCGCTTATCTAGCTTGGGGCCAGGCAGGGCTGTGAGAACATCAAACTTTTACATCTCAGAAACCCTGAACCTTGAAATTCGTGTCCACTGTTGTTTCCAGCAATCTCCAGAGCTAAGTGATTAATTATACCCAAGATAGTCCAAAGCAATTATTTAATTAAACTGTATTCTAGGCTGCCAATTGTTGGGAGCAAAAGGAAAGGCTTCACCCCAGTTTCTCAACATCTGGCCTTTGGATGACTTAAGAGATAAAAGCAGATATGAGAACATTTTTATGACTCAGTAACAATTTCTAGAAGTTTTCCATTAAGTAGAAAAACTTTTTCAGCAACCGGCCTGTCCTGAGCCCACCTGTGCACGCTGGGCCGGGGGGCGCAGCGCAGAGCCAGGAGCCAGCTCCCTTCCCTTCCAGGACAGGGAGCCGGGTTTCTAGCACATCCCTGCGTTGCCTTGAAGCGTGTTTGTGCTCCCGTCCCCTGGCCTGCTTTTCCTTGATTTGTTTCCTCAACTGAGGCTATTTGCTATGAACTTTCATCAGCGAACATCTGCTAGCTACTCGCCACTTCTAAACTCAGAGCTCTACGTCTGCTTGCCCGAAGAACAGCTCCAGCGAAGAGGTGCAGACCGTCTCTCCCAGGGGCGCCCCAGAGTAGAATCTGTCCGCTCTCCCTACAGGGTGGCAGGGGCGGCGGGATGTGCAGAGCGGCTGCACGGACCTGCTCTTCAGCCGTGAGATTTGAAAATAGCTGAAACTCTTCAATTGCTCCAAGTCTCTGAGTACTCGGTGCTGTGTGTGGGCAGCTCACAGCCGGCTGGGTCTCCCCCATCTCTGGGCTGGGGGTCTCCTCCGCCTCTGGCTGTCCCCGTGTCTCAGAGCTGTCTCCTGGACCAGGGTGCAAGCTGAACTTCCTGCTTCACTCGCTGCCTAGAAAGCATCAGACAGTAGGACGGGTGCAGCCCCCCAGTTGAACAATAAAGAGTGGATTGTTGGATTGTGCTCCCCATTTGAGTTCTGGATAAATTTGTGATTGATTAAGCCAGTGAGCAGTGAGGACTGACGCAGGAACCCCTGCCAGGTCCCTCCTTTGGAAACAAGCTGAGGTCCTCAAAAGGAAATGGAGGGAGTACCTCACTTTTTCAGCTTTTTCTTTTTTTAAAGATGTATTTATGCATACAAGAGCTGGGGTGCAGGCCTGAGGTTTTTTGGGGGGGGGTGAGAGGATTCACCAGAGACAGAGTAGGGAGCAGAACAGGTGGATCTACTGAAATACACTGCTGAGGGGAGCAGCAGGGAGACAGGAGAGGTCTGCTGCACCATGTGGGTAGCTCCCTGGCCGGGGATTGAACTCGTGCTGCAGTGGCTGGCAAAAGCTTGATAGCTGTGTCTTTAACCCCTGCTCCACCAGGGAGGCCCTCAGCTTTTTCTTAAGGATGAGGGATCTTCACGCCCTTGGGCTGGCGCAGTGTACGTGAGCTTGAACTGGTGCTGAGTCCAGATCATCTGTGACATGTTGTGCGAGGCGTGGTTAGATCCATCCTCTGTCAGAGCCCTTGCAATACTCAGGAAATGTGGCTGATTAGGATGAGACATTCTGAGGCAGGAATTTTCCTTAAAAAAAAGGATTTGCCTTCTGAATCGTGTGTGCTAGTTCAAATAGTTATTTCCGAAGAGATGAACACTCTTCTCTCTCAACTTTTCTTCCTGGACGTATATCTCGGAGAGGTTAAAAAAAAAAAAAAAAAGCAAAGACTAAACTCAGTCTATTCTTTACAAGCAAAACATTTCTCAGGCTTTTCAAAAGAAACCCGTGCCAACATATGGCACAGAAGTGTCTTTTCTGATTAAAACCTGGGAATGTAAATAAATTGGTGTTTCTCCTCTCATTGTCTGTCTTGTTAGGAACTGGGAGTTTGCCAGGAACCAAAAGCTACCCTTAAAAATTATATGTTTTTCTCATTTCTTTTTCAACAGGGGACTTATTATGTTTGAAAATAAAACCTACGTCTTAGAACCCACGGAGGAGTCAGCCGGCGCCTACAAGCTCTCCCCGGCGGAGAGCCTGGCGGGCCTCTGGGGGTCCTGTGGTGCCCACCCCGGGCCCTGGGGCGCAGCTGCGGACCGGCTTCCACCACCCTCCCAGACGCGGGCAAGAAGGGTAGGAGGAAGCCCCAGGACGTGTTTGTGGGGAGCTCGGGGTTCCCGCTATGGGCGCCCAGCGCACAGACGTCCAGGACAGTCTCGCCAGCTGGGTGTGGGTGGGAGGAGGGGCTCAACGGCGTCTCTGGGTGCTTGATACCCCCGGGTGGAGCTTAATCAAATCCTGAAACTGTGTTGCACACGGGGGCCTCCAACTCCTCAACCATGCTGGGTAGCCCAGGCTCAGGGAACAGCGAGGCCACCGTCCACGCCTCAGCGGGGTGCAGGACCCAGGCGCGCCACCAGCAAATAAGAGGAACTGGCAGCTCTGGGCAGCTGCCCCAAGGGACAGTCGCCTCCTCTCTGCACGCCCGGCTCACACGGGGGTGTTCGGGGCGCTCTGCCCGCAGCCGGTGCTGGCCCGCAGGGGCAGCAGAGTCCGTGGAGCCTGTCCAACTGTCTGCGCCCGTCCTTCCCCCGCTGGGACCGTGTCCTCGGCCTCCTCCCCTGGCTCGGGGCACCCCGTGCCTCCGTTTTGCTGCGGGACTGCAGAGAGCAGTGGCCTAGTGGAGTGTAGGCCCCAGATTGCTCTCCCCGCCATATGGACAGAAACAGGGTGCCCAGCCCCCCACGGTACAACCCCAGCAACTCCACCAGGAACGAATGGCACATCCTGAACAATGTGGGTCCCCCCAAGTGGCTGCAGAGACTCCCCAAAGGAGCCGGCAGCCTTGTTCAGCTGGAGGCCTGGGCTGAGATGAGCTGCCAGGAAGCGGCAGGAAGCAAGATGTGGGCAGGAGGCCCCTGGGCTTGCCCTGGGCAGCCTAGAGGCAGCTCCTTGCAGTGCCCCTCGACTCACGCCACGTGCGGGGCAGGGCTGCCCTGGACCCCCGACCTCAGAGATTCTCACTGCAGCCATCATGGCTGTGAATGTTACTCTACTCAACACTCAGCTCTTCATCAATACTATTCCTCTTGCTTCATTTCTCTTTTTTTAAACTTTTTTTTTTAAGTATTTATTCATTTACACAAAAACCAGGGTACAGGCCAGATGCGCATGAGAGTGAGAGGATCCACCAGAGCCAGAGCAGGGAACAGAACAGGCAGACTGACGAAATACACTGCTGAGGGGAGCAGCGGGCGTGACAGGAGAGGTCTGTTGCATGTGGGACCCTCGCTGGCCGGCAGGGATGGAACCAGCACTGCAGAGGCTGTGGACAGCTTCACAGTGCGGCGCTCAACCACCTGCGCCACCAGGGGAGGCCCCACCTCTTGGTTCATTTCTAATTGTGTTTCCAAACCATAAGGGCAATCTGAAGGGCTCATCCTCCTTAAAATGCCCTTCTTACCTGTGGATAGGTGTGCGTCCCCGGAGCCTGTTCTGAGCTGGTTTGTACTTTTCATTTTCACGTGATTCTCTTTCCTCCTCCTGTTCTACCCATGTCACCCCACCTTCCTCTGTTTGTTAAGAGGCTCCTGAGATTCTCTATGGCGGGTGCTTTCAAGCTCTGTTCCCCACCATGCAGGCGCAGGTAGGAAAGACACCTGTAGGTACAGCAGCTCACCTTGACACTGACACTCAGGAGAGGAGGTTGGATCTAAATCCCTGAACTTGAAAGATACCCCATCACCCCCTCGCCCCCGCACCCCCAGCAGCAGCGGCTCCAGAAAGCTTCCCCTGCTCTTCTCGCCACCCCTGCAGAATGACACATTCGGGAGCTGGGACCACCACTCCATGGTCCCGGGCATGCTTCACTTTGATCCGGGCCCAGAGAAGAGGTGACTAAGTTGTAGCTTTTCCAGACATGAGCAAGCCCCACATTTACATTCTGTGTTCCGGGCACTTTGCTCCGAGCACCGTGGTGCCCACACGTTACCCACACTCGAGATGTGTAAGTCGGCGGTGTCAGCCACACAGGGAGGGCTGTTGTTGAAAGCCCCAGCCAGGTCGGGGCTCGCTGGCCATATTCTAACCCTGACCTGAGCTTCCTGCTCTCTCGACCGAGGTTGGTACAGGAATCCCAGTCATTTGGACTTGCCTAGAAATGGGGGAAGCAGAATAGCGACATTGTTTTGTTAAAAATGCATAGTGAAGTGTAAATGAACCTTTAAACTGAAAAGGAGTGAGTCCCCGCAGTCTTAGCTCAGTTCAATATTTCTCTGCAGATATTGTGATTGTTCTTAGGAAAGAGAAGGCACCCTTGATTGAAGGGTACAGAAAATAATTTACAAGTAAGTGGGAACAAGACTGGTTTGGGTGGCACCTGGTGCATGTGAAGGGGCTGACTCCAGCTGGGTCTTCCTCTCCTGCCTCCTGGCACTGCCTGTATTTGATGCTCCAGATCACTGGAAGTGCAGCTCGTTCACCTGGTTTATATCCTGCACCAACTGCATTTGCTTTCCCCAGCATGTCTCTGCCTCTGCCTAGAGCTAACTATTGCAGGGCAGTTGCAGGCCGCGGTTCTTCTGTCCACGTGGGCATTTTCCTGCACGGGGCGGCAGGAGTCAGTCTGCACTGGGTGTCCATGGGCTGCACCAGAAGCTCGAGCTGTCGGTCATCTTACCGGGAGTGTGGGTTCCAGAGCCTCAGAGGCAGTTCCCTCTGTAGTTCCCTTGACTCACAGCTCTTCTGCGGCCCATGCCTTCCCTCCATCAGCCCCGTGCCCAGGAATGCAGACTCCCCGTAGCGCCGGCCTGAGCACGCTGGATACATCTGCTGCTGGGGAGTCATGCGGTGCACCCCAAAGGCAAACGTCAATCATTCGTGAATTACCCTTCCTTTGGAGATTATCCATGCGGCTGCTCCCTCCGCTGTCTGGGTAATTAGGGGTCAGGGCTACAAGCGCACGCCTTCCCCAGACGCGGCCTGCTCGGGCTCCTGAGCAGGAGCAGGACGCTGTCCAGAGGCTCCGCTGTGCGTCAGTTCCCACGCAGGCCCGTGCGACTGCCTTTGACGTTTCCGACAATCACGTTGGTGTCACCGACCCCCGTGATGTAACGCCCGTCGCAGGTGGTGTCTAATAACACCTGCTCTCGGGACCCGCCAGAACCCTTGGAAAACTCACTCTTCACCGCACACACACTCAGCTCCTCTCACATAACAGCCGCGCGCCCGTCCCCACTAGAGACCCTGCCGCGTGCTTTCCCGCCTGGTGGTTCTTCACGCTCCGCGGAGGGCAGAGGCAGCCCCCAGCTTGCTTCCCTGCCCTGGGCCTGGTCGCTCAGGTGAGCTGAGGCTCCAGGTGTGAATTCCTGTTGCGTCTGGAATCTGTTAAGCCTCTGGATAAGTAACGGGTCTCACGGGGGCCACTGGCTTCTTGGGCGCAAGGTCGGGGTGCACGTCTGGCCCCTGCAGGGCAGCCTGTCCTTCCAGCAGCGCCCCCTGTTGGTGCCTGTTAGCTCCGTCAGGCAGCACAGGCTGACCTCAGGCAGGGGACGCCGGGTGTGCCCTGCGCGAGGCCCGGGGTGGTGGTGGACACGGCTTTTCAAGCTCAGCTTGGGAGTGTTCGTGCAATGACCTGAGAGGCAGGGCCCGAGGCGTCCCGTGAGCCTACATCTGCCTTTACCCAGGAGGCCGAGCCCACCTCGGCCCTACAGACTCGCTGCCCTCCCACCTGCGTGAGGCTGGCCCGGGCCACCGCGCTTGCCCTTTGGTTTTTGCTGATGTCACACCCAACAGGAAGCTGTTTGCTTGTGCCCTCTGTTCCTGCCCGGCCACCCCCATGCTCCCCTGCCTCCTGCTTTGCTGTTGTCTCCTGTCATCTGTTCTTCCAGCACCCAGGCTGGAATTTGGTCATTCTCACATTCAAGGGCTTCTCGTTGCTCTTAGGTTATTAGACCAACCTCTTGTCAAGGCGCCTGGCCCCATCTCATGCTGCCTGCCGTGCCAACATGCCAGCCTCAGGGACCCCGCTGTGGCTCTTCCAGCTGCCAGAAACACTGTTCCTGCCAGGCTTTCCACACTTCCCTGCTCCTCGTCCTCAGGTCTGGGCTCGCGCGGCCCCGCCCTCCGTCTCTCTTGCTCTGGATCTCTGTTTACTGCCTCTGCTGTGCCTTCCTCGGACTTCGCTGTATTTTTGTGGATTCCTTTTTTCGCCTGTCCCCCACCACCTGCCAGGACGGGCCTCGTGAGGGCAGTCTCTGGGGTCGCTTGACCGTCCAGGTAGCCCCAGCTCCCAGCCCAGTGACTGGCACTGTAGTGCTCTCAGTAGGCATCTCTGGGGTTGAAAAATGAGACCCAGAGGGTGTGGCCCAGGTGAAGAAAGAAGTGAGGCTTTGTGGCCTCGTGTCCCTTCCTTCTGAGACTGGGCTGGCGCGAGCCGAGAGCCCCGTCCAGGCCCCCGGAGCAGCCTCCCGGATCCCTGCCTCCCGGGACCGGCTGTGACGCCCTCGAGGGGCCAGGAGCACATCTCGGGACCCTGGGGGCCCCCGCGGAGATATGTTCCTGTTTGTCCATCTGTTCCCCGGGCGCCCCGCAGTGGCATGCAGGAGATGGGGCCTCTGTGTGTGCGGCTGATGGGGGCCCCCAACCCACCCCAGCTCTGATCATCACGTGGTGATGCTTCTCCCTGAGCTGAATTCACAGGAGCCTTTGGGCGACTCTGAAAACCGGAGGGACAGGAAAACTGTACTCGGTTTGCTTTCGTGTCTGGAATTGTGTCTGTCTGACTGATGCTCCCAGGCCTCCTGGCAAGGCCCCAGGGGTTCATTTCGCCACTTTGCGGGGGACAGTGCGGTCCCCCAAACCAGCAGCTCCCGCCAGTGCAGTGCCCAGGCTGATGTCGTCCTCGCTTATGAGCAGTTTGCTCCCTTGCCGTTAGCCGGGCCTGTTCATGCCCACGGGGGGCCGTGGGGAGGGGGAGACGCCTCTCCCGCCCGGGAAGGGGCGCGTCCCCCCACTTGCGGAGGTGTCTCATTTTGTGTGCACCTGTGGCCACCCCTGGGAGCAATCTCGTTTCCTTTATAAACACAGAGTTGTCCCCCTCCAGCGCGCTTCCCGCCTGCAGCTCCAAAGCTTGACTTTTCATAACGCTGAGAAAGTGTGAGCGCTCGGACCTCTCCGGCTGTTTTTCCCTCCTCCCCCAGGTTTCAGGCTTCTTTAGGGACCTGGAGCCACACAGCCGGGCAGCCGGGGGAGGCCGGGGGCACTGCCCGCCTGCAAACACTCTTCCTGCAGAAACCTGCTGGGGCGCCCGGCTCGTTTTAGACGAGATCCTCAGGCTCTGTGACCGCCGGCCGAGCCCAGCGCGCCTCGGCCGTCTCTGCTCTGGGCTGAGGTGCGGTCGCCACGGGCCGCCTGGAAGGGCCACGCAGTGTGAGCTCATGGGCAGCACCCCCGCCCAGGCCCCTCCGGCCGTCTCCTCCCACTGCCTTTGATGGCAGAACAGGAGGCTTTGTTTTTTGCTTCTTGGTGTTTGCTGTGTAAGGCCACCCCCCCTACCACACCCCCCAGCAAATCGCCCTCGTCCTCCTGAACACGCCTCTGGGGCTCTCCCAGTCGTTCAAGGAGAAGGCAAATGGCTTTTTATGAGTAAATATGATTAAAATGGAACCCCTTCCGAGGCTGCCTGTGCTGGAGAGGGCGTCCCCATGGCTGCTGCCTGGGTCATCTTGTTCCTGCCCCTGGGGAAAGTCCTGCTCACCTCCCCCACTCGGCCCCGCCCCTGCCCCTGTGCTCCGGGCACTCATCTCAGTCTGCTTTTCCCTGGACGTTGTTTCTTTCTGTTGGTTCCTCTCTGGGCTTCCTCTGGACGCCTTCTTCTCGCCTGGGCTGTTCCCTGATGATCAGCCCGTCGGTGTGTTCCCTGCTGTCCAGCCCACGTGTGTCCGCTGGCTTCTGACGGGCCACACGAAATGAGCCCCTTGGCATGGGTGACGCGGGGCGTTCTGCGGTTCCTGCTCTAAAGTATATTCTCTTCACTTTTCTCAGATCACAAAACCGAGACAAAGATAACACTAAAGGCGAAGGGAAGCCTGTGAGCTCCAGCCTCACCTTTAGGATCTCGCGACGGGTGCGCCGGCTGCGCTGGCTGGCCGCCCCCGGGAGCGCGGGGTCTGTGTGCACTGCTGACTGATGAGCTTCACTGCTTCTGACGGGTGACCAGTGACTCAGCGGGGGTCATGATTCCCTCCTCAGGGTTCCCTGATGACATGGGAACTGGTCTTTCGTGTTGAGGTTTTGCTGAGGTTGTCGGGGCGGGGGTAGCTTCTGCCTGGAGGGGCAGCGTTAGAGCCTCGGGAGTCGGTGGTCGGTGGTCTTGGCAAGTGTCACCCCAGCTCAGGTGCTTAGATCAGAGAGGTGTCTGCGAGGTGTTGGAGGCCCCAGAGAAGTGTTGAAGGGATTTAAGTCCATGTTTGTTTTCGGCAGCAAAAAAGAGAAACCCTCAAGATGACCAAGTACGTGGAGCTGGTTATTGTTGCAGATAACCGAGAGGTGAGAACTTTCTGAAATTTCTCAGTAGAGTTGGTGAAAAAATTTAAAGACAGGGTAAAGAAAATGTTTAGCGCATCATTACGTACTTTAACCTCATTTCGATGAGTCCTTAAAAGCGTTGTAAATAACTTTCTAAAAAAAAGTGGTTTTCTGATATTATAAAGTATAAAATATTCACAGTATATCTGATATTACAAAATAATAGCAAAGCTTGCCAAAACAAACAAACAAAACCCCCGAGCGGCCGGGTAGCTAAGCTCTCCAAACAAGAATTATTTGGGGGAAGTAGCAGATGGCCTTAGGATATATTCCCAAATGCTTTGGGGAAAAGCTTGATTTAAAACATGTCCAATTATGTTCTAAGTCAAATGAATGAATGAATGAATGAATGAATGAAGGCAGCAGGAATTGCTCCCCATATCAGATAGTTTTGTAAACAAATAGCAAATCAATAACATTTGATTTAAAAAGAAGGAAATGCAGGAATATTTGGGACAGAACACCCCCTCAGCATGCATCTCATGAGTGCTGAGAGCAGCTCCATGCACACATATATATATTCTTAGATTGTGAGAGCAAAATGGTGGTTGCTGGAGAGGGGTGAGAGGCAGTGGGGTCAGTCTGCGGTGTGGTGGAAACTAGACTTCAGGTGCTGAGCAGAATGCAGCCTGTGCAGAGGTCGAGATACAACTCGGTGCCCTTGAAGCTTATACAATGCTATCAACCAATGTCACGTCAGTGAAAATTTAAAAAACTTTTCTTTTAAAAAAGGAAATGCAGCAGAAAAAGCCTACTGCAGTATGGCTTGATACTAAGTTGGTTTTTTCTTTTAATTAATATCGTATAGCTTTTTTTAGGCTAGTTTCTCTGGATTCATTTCTTGCCTCTGCTACATGCTATGAATTCAGTGACGTTTTCTCGAAGTCCCGCTCAACACTCATGGACAAAACAAGCTTGAGAATTTCTCAGAAAGTTATTCCCATTCTGGAAGCTCAAAGTGGAGGAGAGAAAGGGAAATTCACTCACTTTTTATCCATTCTCCTCTGCATTGTGTGACTTATTTGCCACAAGCTGCAATTCCTTTTACTATTTAATTTTTAAAAGCAAATATAAACGAAATTTCTAAGGAAGTTGAAATCAAGTTGATGAGATGAGAAATGGCTTTAGACCGCATTCCAATAGTCTGTTTTCTCTTTGCCAAAACATGTCACTGCCTCCATCCTTTATGAGGCTGGAAAAATTGCAGAAGTTACTGTCTTATGCACACTTGGCTTGGGTGAAATTCAGGGAGTTTCAGAAAGTCCCTGAACGGGAAATTGCTCGGCAGGGTGGGAACCGGGGAGGATCCCGGGTGGTTTGTAAAGCTGAAGTCTTCAAATTTTCAGGAGCTGGGGAGATGAGATTTGATTGATATTCTTGCCACTAACAATGCTGACATTTAAAATTGTTAAGTTTCAGAGGCAAGGAAAGGATCTGGAGAAAGTTAAGCAGCGATTAATAGAGATTGCTAATCACGTTGATAAGGTAAGTCCTTTTTCAGGTAATTAAATCACTCAGATCCTATAAATGCTTGGAAATGGGTGGAGGGACAGAAGTGCCCTCATCCGACTGGCCGCCCCCCTTCCTGGTCCCGGGCTGGAAGCGGAATCCCCTCCTCCAGTGCGGGGTTCCCGGGCCACCCCCATGGTCTGAGCCGATTTGCAGCCCCTGCAGGCTCTTCCTGCCAAGAGACCTCGGCCTCTGCAGTTAGATCTAGAACCCAACAGGGTGCATCTGCCCTTTTGAGGGCTCCCCCTCTGGGCTCTTACCTAGGTCTCTCTGGAAGCCCCCACAGGCCTCTTCACCAGCCCCCATCACTGCTGCCATTCAGAAGGGATACCCGGGCTCCCCGTCCTGGACACAGAAATTGACTTTGGGCTCAATCAGCTGTGGGAAACCCCTCACCGAGAATTGGGAGGGCAAAGGTGATTTCAAAGCCCACAGGGCCCCTGGAGGCCTGGCTCACCCCAGGGTGGGTTGCACATCACTCTGCTCCTACATGTCGTGAGAAGATGGTGAATGGTCCTCACCCGTCTCTCCTGCGCTGAGCTTTCTCGTGCTGGTGGCCCCTGGCCTCAAGCAGGGCTCCTCCTGCTCCTGGAACTCCCCAGGCTTGGCTCCCGGGGCGGGTGGGGGGGGCAGCCAGACAGCAGGATCATCGATGACCCCCAGGTGATTCTCCCTGCTGCAGCCACACCCTAAGGCAGCCATCGCAGCAGGGAGGACACCTCCAGTGACCGTCCTGCAAACAGCCCTAGAACACGCAAATGGGGTTTTCCAAGTTTTCAGAAAAATGACGGCAAGGCCTTTCCAGAAATCCAACCCCACGTAGCCAACCCCCTGCCCTCTGGACAGTCCCAGCCGTGCAGGGGGCCCCTGGGAATTCAGATGGCACTGGACATAGCTTTCTCCGGCCTCCGAGGGCAAAGGAAAGCGTGGCAAGATCCAGCCCGGCTGGCAATGGCTCCGTCTCACAGGCACGTCCACTCCCCGTTCGTGCTTCTTGCCATCCTGTCCCATAGCATCGCTTGCTTCAGTTTGCAAAAGCAAAAATGAGCGATCGGGGGTTTCCTAACAGCTTGCACTGGTAATTAAAGAACAACGTAGCTCGGAGAAGTCCTGACGGGCTCGTGGAGCTGGCTGGGCTGGCTGTGCTCCCGTTCCTGGCGGCGAGAGCGTGGGTTGCTGAGCGCACGTGTGCCCGTGGGCCCGGGGGACAGCAGGGAGCACCAGGCCCTAGCGTGGGTTCCGGATCTGTGCTGCTGCCGATCAGGGGGAGTGACCCAGCCCCCAAAATGACTGTTCTAGGGCCACCATCCTCATTTGCCGAAATCCGCGCCCTCTTTGCACTCTGAAATAATAACTGCTTGGCCGGCTACACGGGGTGGCAGGGGAGGGGAGGAGGGAGCCCCAGAACAGGTGACAGAGAAGGATGCGGTGACGGAGCCGACACAGAAAGCCCGCGGGCGCCCAGCCAACCTTCCCCGAGTTGCTGAGAGCCGCCCCCAGGTCCCCATCAGATTGCAGAGGTGGGGGCACCTGCCCAGTAAAGGGGTGGCCATGCTCCCCCCCCCCCCCCCCCCCCCCCCCGCCGTGAACCTTTCACCTCCCATCTGTCCTACTTCCTACTCAATAGGATTTAGCCCCAGCTGCAAATTCCTTAAGGCTGAACCTCCGTGACCTGCTTGGGAAAGAGCTCTTTTCCACGCATGCAATTTCTCGGGGCGCTTTCCCCTGTGCACGGTCTTCCTCCCTCTCCAGGTACCTGAGCCTGAAGGAAACACACTCCCGTGTTGGACCCCAGGGGTCACCCTTCACTCTACCCATTTTTTTTCAGATCCACTTCCTCCAGAAAGCCCTCCCGGAGCCTCAACTAGGCCTCCCCTGAACCCTCTGTTACTGGGCAGATCTCGGTACTGAAGGGCTCCGTGCCCTGTGCCTCATGCCTCCTGCTGACCTCGGGGTAGCCAGGGGCTCAAGGCAGGTGTTGTAGGTGCAGAGCCGCAGCAAGAGTCAGGCAACGCTGCTGCCTCTGTCCTCGGGCGTCTGGACTCAGGTCTCAGACCCACGCGCGCGTAGACTAGGCTCCTAGCCATGCAGGCAGCTGCCCAGCCCCAGGGGACCTTCTCTCTGGGTTCCCCGGGGGAGGGCACCTGAGCCCTGGGCCAGGGTGGCCGTGCTGCCTGGCGGTTACAGCCTGGCGCTGGGCCGCCGGCCACAGACCTCTGCGTCATGACGCCCTCAACTGCGCAGTGGGAGCTTTACACGTGGTCACTGGGGGCGCTGAGCGCTACAGAGGCCCTCGGACCCTGCCTCTGACTCTAGAGCTCATCTGTGTTAGCGCGACTCTCGCTAGGGAGACCCTGGAGGGGGCGTCGCAGCCTGTGGGGGGCTCGTGCAGAGCAGGCAGGACGGGACGGTGCGCGGCCACTTCTGTGGGTCACACACAACCCATTCCTCAGAGCACGGGTTTTGGAGGGGGGTGCGGCATCTACTGTGGGGGTGAAACCCCTTCTAAGGAAGTGACCAGAGAAGCCACATTTGTGGGCATCACCATACACGGGGACAGCTTCCCTGCATCGCTCCTCGGAGGCAAAGAGCTGCCACCCCGAAGCCCACACAGGGCATCTGAGCCCAAGGGTGCACTTGGCTCAGGTGGGGACCCCGCTGGCCTCCTGCTGCTTCTCCCAGGCTCCTTGGTATCCCCCACATGATCTATCCACCAAAGGACAGCAGTCGAGCATGTGCCTGCGGGCTCCAGGAGGCCAGGAACCGGGGTTTCTGGGAAGCCTGGACTGGAGGCAGCCGGGGAGGTAAGGACAAGCCGTCCTGGCTCAAGGCAAGCTCTTCAGCAGTGCTGGGTTGTGCGATCGCCTCGTTAACTCACTTGTGTGGTGCCCCTGTGGTGTCTCTTGAAGCCATGCTGACCCGCAGCAACCGGTTGCGGCTCTGCCGTAGCTCGTGTTCAGTCCTGTTGCTCTGCTAACCTAATGCTCACCAGATGATGGGAGATGGGCCAGGGAACCATGAGCCTCTCTCACACGGGTCAGGACCTGGGTCAGAGGCTCGGCTTTGGGGAGTTTCTTGCATGTGAGTTCACCGCTTTGGAATGGGGCTTAGCTCTCAGCTGCAGAGCTCCTGTGATTTTTGTGACTTGTTGGCCAGATGCTTCTAGCAACCGAGAAGAAACCTGCTCACATCTGGAACTTGTCTTTGGCTGTTATCTCCAGCCACATCTTTCTCCTTGGCTGCCTGGAGTAGCAAGAAGAAGATTCTGCCTTTGTGTCCTGTCTCACACACCACAGGCATTGAAGGATCGGACAGCCAGCCAGGGGACCCCATGTCCTGGCCTCCTTCACCCTAAGCACAGCACTACCTCCCTGTCTCTGGCCTGCATGCAGGGCATCGAGGTAGTGCGGGTAGTGGGAAGTCCTACCTCTACCCTGACTGCTCATCCACAGCGGCCTGTCGGGAACAAAGCCCTCCTCAGCCTTTGGAAGAGCCACCCTTCTGCAAGCCTGCCCCAGGCTTGCAGAGAAAGGGCTGTGGACTGAGGTCAGGAATATGGACAGAAGTGGACATGAGGGGAAGACTTGCCTTCTCCTGGAAGCTTCATTTCACAGCCTTGCCATAGAGGAACTTCCCTCACCAGAGCTCTCCCCTGACACTGTCGCTGAGCTTGCTCCTGGCTGTGAGGAGAAAGGCCATAAAAGTGCATGCAGAGGGTTCTGTGTGTGCCTTTATTATGCTGAAAGATATTGACTCGTTCATTTAATTAAAACCTCCGAGGTGGATTATAGGTGACAGAATAGGATAGTGTCAGCCAAGTCTGAATCTTTGCTGAAAAATTAATGCAGATTCCTTTTCATTAACTCATAGGTAGAACATTTTGCTTAAAGTGAACAAATTATTGTCCTTGGCAGAGTGTCTCAAAGATCCTAATTCACTCATTGTTTTTCTTGCAGTAGATATTAGCTGGCAGCCACGCACAATGGCATGACTGCTTTAGCCGTGACACACAGCCACACGCACATTGTAAGTCACCGGTAAATGCATCACCAGAGACGTGTGCTTCCGTGGACAGACATCAGAAAGGCTGAAAACATCAGCACCTAACTGGTCAGCAGCATCTGAGACTCCTGACACTTTGCGTCAGACACTGCAAATATTCCTTGAGCTCGAATGTTCTGGGAATAAGAGAGCAGGGGGATGTTTTTCTCACCTGTGTCAATGAATCAAAACATGCCAATCTGTTCCACCCTGTTGTTTATGTTCTCATTAATGGGATCCCGACGGCCCCTGTCTTCCTCAGTTTTACAGACCGCTGAACATTCGAGTTGTGTTGGTTGGCGTGGAGGTGTGGAATGACATCGACAAGTGCTCTATAAGCCAGGACCCATTCACCAGCCTCCACGAATTTCTGGACTGGAGGAAGATGAAGCTTCTACCTCGAAAATCGCACGACAATGCCCAACTTATCAGGTGGGGCTCGGGTGACTCGCCTTTGCTTAGAGACAGACCCAGCGCTGTGCGCTCTCGGAGTGTCCCTGGCCCGAGGCGGAGCCCGGTCTGCAGGCACCAGGGCGTCTGCGGGGGATTTCTCAGGCCGCGCGGGCGGGACAGAGGCCATCACGGCTGGCATTGTGGGTCTGATGGGAAAGTCTCCCTCTGGACATCCTGTAAAACCACCCCTCTCTCATTTCTTTCTTCCAGCGCCGGGCATTTTCCCTGTGCACATGTTTCCTCATCTCTGTCTTGATGTAAAGTCGCCCTGAGTAGGCTGTTTTCCATACAGCTCGTTTTGTTTCATTGTTAGTGAAAAATGGTTGTAGCACCGCTGAGGCCGTGCATCCGGGAGAAACCACTTCTCCTCCTGTTTCCCTGTTAGGGTTCGGCTTCCCGACAGAGGACCCCAGAGGTGCAGCGTATTAACCCCGTGTTCTGTCTCTCAATCCATACGTATTCAGCACCCATTAGGAACCTACCTGTTTTAGGGGCTTTCAACACAAACCTGTAAACCTCCCAGCTGGAGGGAGTCCCTGAGCGCCCAGAGAAGGAAATGCCGAGGGCGCTGAATGTGGTCAAAGTAGTGACCTGGGGGGAAAGAGGCTCACGTAGCATCATCTATTGGTGATGCGCTGCAGACACCTCCGTATTTAAAAGAAAAACCTTATAGTAATCCAAGTCAGCGTGGAGATGTTTTTTAAAGTGACAGCGGCTCCGCCATCACCTGTTTGCACCGTTATTCCCTGCTTCTCGGGTATTTCCCTGAACTGAAAACTACAGGGTCAAAGACACTTTTCTCTGGCGAGCCAGTCTAGTTTATTCAACATTTATGAAAAGTTAAAAAAAAAAAAAGCCCTCCCCCCTTCTCTCTTTAGAAAATGCCCACGTGCAAACAGGCTGTTCAAATTCCCTGATCATTTACTTTGGCCATTTTCACAGGTTTGCCCGCCGTGGATACTTGTGGTCGCCTCATATTTTATGCATTGATTAATCCTGAGCTGCTAAAAGTAGAGTCAGAGTGTTTTGTTTTGGGTTTTTTCCCAAATGGAGTCTGTCCAACTTGAACATCTGGAAATAAATTAGCCTCTTCTAGGACCTTATTATTTATACACAAGTATAAGTGTATCTGTTAAAATGGTGTCTATAGATATAAATATAAAACCTGCAATCCCCCGGCCGGCCGTGAGTGCGATGAAATGAGCGGATGATGGGTGGATGGACAGAACATCGTCCGTACATACACACACACGCCTTGTCCAACTGATCACTGCCAGAATGGCTAAGTGATCAAATAACATACATAAACTCTATGTGAGCACGCACCAGGGAAACATGTACACACGTATTTCCCTGCAAGGAGATTTGACAATGCAGTGTTGCATGTTTTTCTTTTTTTTCCCCCATCACTCTCCCTTATGCCCTCCGACCTTTTCCTCCCTCCCTGCTGCTCTTAACCTCAGGAACCTCACTTCTCTATTGTCTGCTAGTTTTTAGAAAGTATTTTGCTTTGTCAAATCATCCACTGTGTATATAAATGCCCAGTATTTCTTTATCATTATCACACAGCATTTCCCACACAGCATGCCTCATAAATGACAACCTTGTGTCTCCTTATGACTGTGTTCTGTGGTGTGGTGTGGACCACATCTTCCTGATCAGTCCTTAAATAGCGGCCTCTTGCTTTGTCCCCTGTCCTCACTGTTGTACGTAGTGCTGCCATGGCCACGGGAGAGCGTGTCGTTGTTGAGTTGATGGCGTCATGTCCTCTGGGCAGATGCCCGCAAGTTCCATTTTTAATGCATGAGGTTGGAATTAACAGCCCTTGCATTAAATAAGCCTTGAGGTCCTTAGACTCTGATCAGATTTTAAGATTCCCTGTAGGAGAAAGCCTGTACCTAAGCCATGAGGTCCCCTTCCAGAAGCTTCCTGCCAGGATGCCAAGGCTTTGTAGGCACTTACTTCCGCTCAGCTGGCTTCAGAGCAACAGTCATTTTTCTGCCAGCTTCACTTTTTCAAGCTACATTGGCAGGACATTTTGAAGGAGTTTGGGCTTCTGGCCTCATGGTATGTTACACAGGAAAGCAAAAGGCGGCTACAAACAAAATCTAGTAAACCATCTAGTGCATTTCGTTAGTTAACAGTGATTCTCTGTGATGCTCTCAGCCCCTCCAGCAGCAGACCGTGTTTAAAAGGAGCAGCTTCCTCCAGTCCATTAGAAACCAGGCAGGAACACAACCTACAAACACAGAAGTATGACTGGCGGTTGTCTGAGTCTTGAAAATAAAGATCTGAAAGGGTCGTGGAACCATTCCGCAACAGGAAAGTAAATCTTAAAGGAACTAGAGCTGAACACGCGGGTCCACGTGCCCTCAGCATTTTCTTACTTGCAGAGTCGAGGAATGTCCAAGAGAATTTCAAGTGTGAGAGCATGTCTTCTTCCCAGATCCTCCTGAGACAGTCCTGTCTTTGCTTTCCAGCGGCGTGTATTTCCAGGGGACCACCATCGGCATGGCGCCCATCATGAGCATGTGCACCGCGGAGCAGTCGGGGGGCATTGTCATGGTAAGGAAGCCAGAGCCCCAGTGCGGACCACAGGTCCCAGCCAGACTTCCCGCCTCGGGGTGTGGCTACTTCCCTGGGACTGTGGAACCCTGTCCACTTCTCTGATACAGGCTAGACTTAAGCCTCCCCTTCTAGCTCTGTGACCCTGCCTAGCCCACAGTGCTCTCGGGACTGTGTATAGAATACATCAAGACCACACAGGAAGGTGAGTATGGAAGGAGCCCCACAGAGGCCTGTCTGTCCTCTTCATGGAGCAAAGTTTCCATGGAGGCTCCGGTCAAAGCCTCCCGGTCCAGGAACTCCTCGCAGCGCTGAGGAGCCAGGGCACCGGGGTTGCCCTCCTTCTGGGTACCCTGGGATGGGACCAGAATCTCACCAAGCATCCCCATTACGACAGTTTCCCGATGCTTCTGCCTCCAGGCCCAGCGGCCAAAAGTCTGAGGTTTTTAACTCTTGCCACTGCCGACAGTTCACATTCCTCCTAGCCAGTGTCCAATTTGTCTTTATAATAACCTTATTCTTGGAAGGCAGAGACCTGAGTTTATTACTTTACAAGAATAATTGAATCACATATGGGCTATACATGTTTGGAAAAGGAAATAAAATGGGAAGACTAGTTGGGACTCATTGCTTATGAATTTCAGAGGGAGGGAGTTTTGATAGGCGCCCCAACAGGCAACCCCCACTTCACTCCGCCAGATCACTAAAGGCAAGGTTTTCACCCCTGCTGCCTCTACTCTGGAAATGTAGTGCACCCCTGGCACCGGCCCCCAGACGGGGGGTCCTCAGAGCCCATTCCACCATCCCTTTAACAGAACCCTGTCCTGTCAAGAAACCGTGAACTCCTCCACACCCATCAAGTGAACGTCAAGGAATATGCCGTTTGTCTTGAAGGGCAGAAGGAGCTCTGTTCGACCAGTGTTTCCTCTCTCCATGCCCATACATTATTCCCAATCTTAGAGCAGCTCCACCACCCAACATTCTGTTCTTTGGGCAATGTTGATCCTTTAGCAGTAAATATAGAAGCTGAATAGGCTGGACGGTGGTTGCGCCCACTCCTGGGATTTCTGACCTGAATGGGCTGCCTTCTGGCTTTCTGTGAACCTACAAGCAGCCTTGGATGGGCTGTCCCCCTAAGAAATCACTGCAAAGTTGAGTTCTCATCAGTGCCCGGTTCATTTCAATCAGACCCCAACTCTATGTTTACAGAGCAGTCTATACAGTCTTAAGAGGAAGTATTTTTGTTTCATGTTCCCATGGTCAGTTGCTACTGACCAGGCCACTTCAAATTGGCATCACTATTCTTGAGGCCTGAAACTGGATTCTTCATACAAATGACAGGTTCTGCCTCTGTACGCGGTCTAAGCATGCAGCAAGATGACCTCAGCTCCCGCCTCTTACTCTGTTTCCCTACAAGTATTTTATCAAGATTCTTTCCTTGAAAGTATGCAGAGCAACCTCATTTAAAGAAAATGGACCAAGAGGAATATGGAAAATATGAGCAAATATGTATTCTGCCATAAGACCAGAGCAAGACCAAAATTAACCAACAGGAAATATGTTTCACCAACACAGGACCTGTAAGGTCATCCTCCAGCACATTCTCTCTTCGTTCCACATGTAAAAGGAGCAGCTAGTAGGATGAAAAAGCCACAGCGCCTCAATTTCTATGAAATTTGTGAGATAAGCAAGGACAATGTCTCGACCAACTCTACGGCTCCAGGGTTGTCTTGCTCCTGTCATGTCTCTCAGGTTGCCTCCTTGGGGTGCCAGGTGGCAGCGCCTCATGGGAGAACTCAAGACCCTAAGAGGAAGGGAATCACGAAGTCAGGCGTCTCATCAAATGAAAAATGTCTCTATTCTTTCAAGACGGAGCACATCATGAACTTTAGCAGTAACTTACACTCATGGCTTTATCTAGCTGGACTCCAGCGGGCTTGGCTTGAGGATAACCCATGAATAAAGAAGCAGTTTTTTTCCTGATTACAAATATAAACTGTTTATCAGGATCTCTTAAGAGACATTCTGTTTGCAATCACCTAGGCGTGAAAGAATGTAAAACAACCCGCCAATTAAAAACAAAACCAAGAGACTCAGTGACACAAAAGCATCAGATGTGGAGTCTTTTTTTAAGGATGAATTCCTTGTATTCTGTGCCAGAGCTTGCTAAAGCTGTGCTCCACGTTCTTACAAGGACTGCATTCTTCACCAACGTGTGTTATTCTTGAGAATTGATTTCCTGAAACAGATTTGTGAAGCTTCCTACAACAGGAAACTGTAGAATCTAAACAAAGCAACTTATTAGGAATTTCATCTATTCTAAGAAGAACGTGGCTCCTTGACACGCCATTCTTTGCTTAGACTGAGGAATGGTGAGAGAGGCCGCTGTAGCTGTAAATGCCACCGCCCACCACCTGGGATCTTGGATAAAAACACCTGTTCCAAGAGAGTGTGTAAGAAGAGCAACACTTTCCCTACAACATAGCGTCGCTGTTGCCTGGAAACCTCTTCCCCCTCCCTGGAGCAGGAGCCGACTCACGTGCCCCTGCTACCCGGCTGTGCCATTCATGGGCATGATTTCTGCCAATCCCACTCATTAATTAGTTGATTTTAGTTTGCTAAAGTGACGTGACTATATATCCTTGATCAGTTTCTGAGATTCTCTGTGCGCCATGCCCTCCTCTAAGCCAGGGTGGCCGGCGTTGCGCGCCGCTGAAGACCTCGCCTGCCAAAACCAAGCCACAGGCAGAAGGGACCCCAGCAGCAGACTCAGAGACTCAGGACACCGCCATCCATCTCTAAAGTCTGCACGACAGAACTAAAGGCCAGCAAGACCGCGGTGCGGCTGGGTCGCAGTCACTGCGTCTCCAGAGGGTCAGCCTTTGCCGTGAGTTAGTGTGGACTTCTCGCGCGACCTTCTCTGACAAGTAGACAGGGAGAGGCAGGCTCAGAAGCAGCTGCTCGGGTCTGATTAAGAAGCCCAAGGGTTTCCATGAGCAGCCCCTCGGTCCATGCCGAAGGGTCCTGGTCCCCCAGGAGGATGAGCCTCTCGATCCATTCTACAGAGAGGTGTTTTCCAAGAGATTGCAGGGGGCCCCCAAACTGGTTTAATAGAACACGTTGAATCCTTTTTGAAAGCTTGATGAGGCTCTGTCAGTTCTTTACGAGGAGCAGCATCCGGGCAAATGTTGATGAAAGAAATATGGGCGGCGGGGGCTGGGGACATAAGGCTGAAGAGAGGCGAGCTGTACATTTGTGCCCTTGTGTTTTATTGGAGGACCACTCAGACAGCCCCCTGGGCGCGGCAGTGACGCTGGCGCATGAGCTGGGCCACAACTTTGGGATGAACCACGACACACTGGAGCGGGGCTGCACCTGCAAGATGGCGGCTGACAAAGGGGGATGCATCATGAACCCCTCCACAGGGCAAGTACTGGCGCCGTGCAGGCTTGTAGAGAGCGCTCAGCATGAATCGCATACCAGGAAGCAGCTGGGCACAAAGGTCCTGGGATTTCTGACCAGAACACCCATGGAAGCTTCCAGAAGGAAGTTCCTTCCCATAAGTTCCTTCCCATGTAGTGAGAGGGAGCCCAGTGCACCGTGACACTGTGGGTGAGTCTCAGGCATGAGCACCGCCCTCCCCGAGAAGTGGTAGAGGGGGTGCTGTCTTGGTTTAGAAAGTGGTCCCACGCCCCCAGCACTTGCTTTTAATTTGAGCCTATGGACCCAGGGTCATCCGAGGACCTGGTGAAAACGGGCTGCGGGGTGTGAGGGTAAATGAGGCACATGCCTTCAGGGGGCACCAGGTGGGGGCATGGCCTCCCTTGGGGGTGGTTGGCCCGAGGGCACATCTTATGCACACCACCTTCTCAGTTCTTAAGAGGTTTAAATGACTTTTCTGATTCAGTGAATTATGTTGTTCCTCCTTGTTGGATGACTTTCTAAAACTAGGTTTGGCTCACCCAGTAAAAAAGGAAGACAGCTTCATTGCTGGAGCGTTCAAATGAGGCAGATGCTGATGCAAGTCAGAGTAATTAGAGATTCTTGTGTGTTCTGATACCCCCAAGGGCCCATCCCAACTAGAAGGTTGTGCTAATGCGAAGATGTTCAGTAGGAAGGAGTCATGTCCTTGTTAAAAGACCATCTTCATTTGTACACCTTGAGAACAACCTGGCGCTTGAGAACAACCTGGCGCTTACGATGTCCTTGGCTGTCCCTGGACAAGCCCACGCTCTGGCCTTGCTGAAAGGGGACATTGGGAGTAAGAAGCAATTGCTAACTGGCTGCCCAGAGACTGGGCTGCTGGAGGACTTGCTGGCAAGGGGGCAGTCACGGTGTGACTTCCAGCCCCATCCTTCCATCTAGTCACTGCTCTACCCATCCCTCTACCCATCACACTTACTCACATACCAAACTATTTTTGGCCTCTGCTTATTGTGAGGAAGGCATGGCCCCTACAGCTTCAGGAACCACATGCTTGTGAGGCGTGATGGCAAAGCAGTTTCTGGTCCCCTACACCATTTCTTGTAGGGACGTCTTCACAGCTGTTCGTGAGGACCCCAGCCAAACTACCCTGGAGATATTTGAAAATCATAGGCAGAAATGGTATTGTTAGGAGCTTAGCAAATCATTTTAAAAGCCTTTTTTCTTTCTTACCAGGGGTTGGCTAATAATCTTTACTTGATTTATATGTACCTTATTAGCAATTTCTAAGTTTCCTTTTTTGCTGAGCTTGTGCTTTTGTATAAATCGTTTCTATTTGGTTCTCCTTTATGATCCCAGATTCCTGCCCAGAGAGTGGTGTTTTTAATTTTCTCAGATGGAAAGAAACTTCCTAAGCAAATGGATGAATTAATCACAAAAGCCCACAGCGAGGGGGAGGTCGAGCTGGCCAGTGAGCCCTCGGTCGTCCATCACGCTTGGAGTTCCCAGGCTGTTTTTAATCTCCAGTATTATCTCAACATGGTGGCTCTCTTACCTCATCGGGTCCCCATGAGAGCGGGAGAGTGGATAAATGAGATCATGTTCTTTGTACATTGTAAATCACTCCACAGATACACAGCTGTGTTGTTTCCATTATTTAGCGCCCTGGGACGTGGAACTATAGAAACGTTAGAGGCCTTTTCAGAATTCCTGCTCATGGCCGCTGAGGACAGGCGGCCACAGAGTGGTCACTGGGCAGTGCCTCAGTCTCTGTGAGGGGCTCGCGCTCAGCTGGCCCACCCCCACACCCCCACCTCCCCTGATGTCCCCCCACGTCGACTCAGGTTGAGTAACGTGAAAATGTTACTAAGTCTGAGCCCCAGAGGTGACTTGCAAAGAGATGAAGCAGAGGCTGCTTTGAAGGTCTTAAGCTCTCACGGCATCAAAAAGAATCGCAGATGGTTTCAAGGGAAAAGTGCATCCTCTGACAGATCTTGTTTATTCTTTATCAAAACAGTCCAGAAGCCAAACTCTGAAAACAGTCAGAGAACACTGGCACGGACTGGGGCGCTCCAAGCCTGGTGTCCCTGCTGCGCTGGCCCCTGCCAGGGGCTCCTGACAGCCTGGCCTTCCCGGCTGCGGGTCTCCGAGTGCAGGAGCGTGTGCTTTATGTCTGGAGAGCTCACGAGGCCTGTCTTGGAAATGACCCTTTGGCAAGCCCCACCTCTGGGGATTCTCATGCCAGTGAGTCTCTGATAATAAGCTGCTTGGAGCATTGGGTCACGAGCCATATTTATGGGGGGACGAAAAATCATGTGAATATTTTGGGGACTGAATCGTCAGCATAATAGTCAATGTCCCTTCCTAGAGGAGGCGCAAAGCCGTGTTCGCACTCAAAAAATGACTCACTCCTTCCTTCTTTGTTTGCAGAGAGTTTTGTGTTAAAAAGAGAGTGGGAAGCGTGGATCCCACTCAGGGGAGGAGGCAGCCGGGCCTGTGACCTGCTCCCCAGCCCCCCAGCCTGGAGGCTCCCTGAGGGCCTCAACAGAGGGGGCATTTCTGCCCTCCCGAAACTTGCATCCCAGTGGGGAAGACAGACTGGAAAACAGCACATGCAAAGGAGCAGGTTGGAAGGCGGCTGCACAGGGGCCAGGAGGACGTAGCTGCGAGGCGGGCCCTCGCCCCGGGCCCTGAGGGCAATTATTTTCTCGGTGAAAAGTTTGAGAAAATCTTCCCTTCCTTTTTCCAAGTGTAAAGGAAAAGGGGAAATCTTGAAGGAAGAAAAAAAAAAAACAAGGTTCCTGTGAGGAACTCTAGTAAGATTAAAACCCGACTGGCGGGAAACAATTTAATGATCCAGCCGGAGTAATTTAGCCATTTAGCCGCGTCCAGACGTTCTCATCGGGACGTGAGCTGGCGGGGAGAGTCTTGTCTGCAGTTCAGGCAGGTGCATCCACACGGCGCACGCTCTGACGCCCTCTCCCTATCACTGGCTCCTGCCTCTGGGGCTGGAGGCTCTCCCCCCATCAGGGCAGAGCTGGGGTACTCAGGCCTCTGCCCGTGGGCACAGGGGGCTGCCCGGTCTCACACTGGCCATGGACTGAGGAGGCAGCCAGGGAGATGGGCTGCCGGGGAACGGCTCCGTGAGGGCCCCTCTTGAGGGAAATGCACTTAGGCAAACTTGACTCTGACCCTGGCGGTTGCATTCGGGGTGTCTGACTTCAGGAGTCAGTAGGCGGCGGGTCTCATCGTGCCTGTTTTAAAACTAGAAGAGCCGGAGCTCAGAGAAGCTGCCTGTGTTGTCCAAACTGCCCAAGTGGAAGCCCCAGGTCATAAATTCAATCACCAGAGCCGGGCCTCTGCCTCTCCACCTTCGCGTTACCCCAAATAAAAGATTGCAGCAGCCGTTAAACCTAGAGAGAAGAGAAAAGCATGTTAGAGAAAAAAAGCTCTCAGCTTCCAACTACAGCCTTAAAGAAGCGCCGTGGAGCCGGCTCCACTCGGCAAGGCTGGGGCTGGGGCTGAGGCTAGGACTGGGGCTGAGGCTGAGGCCTGGCTGGGTCTGGGCTGAAGCTGCGATGAGACAGGGCAGCCTTGCATCTGACCCCCGGTGTGTCTGCCACACAGAGGGAGCCACGGCCGTGTCTGGACTTTGTGTGGAGAGTGAAGCCTGCTCAAGACAGAGCAGAGTCCCTGTGTGACTTGTGGTAGCAGGAAAGCTGCCCCATTTAGTTCTACAAACCTCCTTCAAGTTTTGCTACAACAGCAGAGAATTATTTCCTGCCATTGCTCGTTAATCCAGCATTTTATTTGTGGTAGAACATGTGTGAAAACATTACAGCTGAAATCCTGCCAATCCCTCCCCGGCCCCCACCCCACGCTCATGGCTTCCTCTTCACCCTGGGGCTCGCGGCCTGTGACGCCTGCCGCTTGAGAGTAGAAGTCATTCTGGGTCTCTCCCCAGCCAGTAGTGTCCCAAAGGACCAACTTGAAGCTCCAGTAAATAAGGGTTTTTGTCTGTTTTGTTCTTTGTTGAATCCCCAATGCCTCGGACCATGTTTGATGCACAGCAAATACCTCTTGACTAAAAGGGCAAATGGATGGATGGATGGATGGATGGTGAATGGTTAGGAGAATGGATGGATGGATGGATGGATGGGTGGGTGGGTGGGTGGGTGGGTGGATGGATGCCCAGTTGGCGTTGGCTGTGGAAGAACAAGATAATGAGCTGGCTGCCCCCATGACAGGTGACATGAGTTTTGGGAAAGGCATTTAGAAAAAGCTTCCAGGAACTGAAACCTCCCCAGGGGCATGGCACGTACCAGGTTTCTGAGCAACATCTTTGTGTCAGTTTGTGGGTGCTTGGGTTGGCTATCAATGCCCCAAGTCCTCATTGAGGTTTTGCGAGAGAAAAGCAGCTTCCCAGAGCCGGGCGGGCTCTGTTGGCTTGTCTAACACTCAGGGATGTGTGAAGTCGAGGGATCATGTCTAACACCTGGGCCATTCCTTTGCCTTCTCAAATCATCTTCCTCTCAAACCCACTTGTACTTGTGGTTTTACAGTTTAAAGACTGCAGCATGCGGGCCACAGTTACAATAGATTCTGCACCGCTTTGGAAATTTCGTAAGCACTAGAATGGACCACGTCCTGGCCGTCAGTCACTGAAATCGCCAGAGCGCCAACTCTGAGTGAAAAAAAGGAACCCGCAGCTTTTCACATAAATATGGGCAATTAGCATCTCCCATTGCCTTGAAATTAACCAGACTCACAGTTTTTGTTTGAAGCCCGGCAGCCCTCCCCGCCAGGCTGTGGTGGTCATCACTGTCACCAAGGCTCTGCGTAAAAACCGAGCTTTGGTTTTCGTAGATGGCAGACTCAGGCTTCATTCCGATTTCGGCTCTTCCCCACCTCCTGTGCCGCGGGCCGGGGAGCGGAGACCCCAGCCGCCTGAAGCTGTCACCTGGGTTGTCAGGAGAAAATAGAACTCCATTTTAGTCTGCAAAAGAAATTAGTGGGAAGCAGAATGTCAGCAACATCTTTTCCAAAACCAGTTATCCCTTTACCGTCTGATCATTTATCAGCAGTGGGAGATGTGAGGTTTTCTTTCTTTTTTTTTTTTCAATCGATTTTAGCAGAAATCTGGAAGACGTCCAGTCCCTGATTTCCTGCGATGCTGACTTTACTGCCCTGCAGTTTGTCAGCTGCGGGCTCTTCCCAGCAGCTGCCCTGGCTGTTTGATCCTTCCTCCTCTGGCCACTTCCATGTCCTTCCTTCCATCAGCAGGCAGGCCCATGTCACCCCAGAGCTTGGCGTCTGGAAATCGGGACCCCTTGGCACTGCGTGCATGCCTGGTCATTACTGAGGCGCCCAAGTTCCAGGGAGCGGCCCAGAGTGACCTGCAGCTCCCGTGGATTCAGCCTGGTTCCAGCTCCTTCCCGGACTGCCCAATTTCCAATAAGTTGTCTCTGGATAATTCCCAGAGAGCTTTTGCAAGGCAGATAACTCCCGACTTCTCCTGCCAAGGTTGATAAGTTAGCTTAGGATGATTCACCCCAAGAATACAGTGGGGAACACACCATAGGCTCCTCCAAAAAAAAAAAAAAGAAGTTTCTGACTGCAGAGTTGTCAGAGTCTGAGTAAGCCCTGATAATGTTTCAGTTGGCCGCGCGTGGCTGCTGCATCGTTGCGCCCCCATCCTTTCTGGCGGGGGCTGAAGGTGGCATCCTCTTTGGAAAAGAGGTTTGGTTTAGTTTTCCCGAACTGCCAGCTGTCTGTTTCACCCCCCTTTTATTCTACGCTTGCATTCACATGGTAACTGCCCCCGGTGTTGTGGGTACTAAATATTAGAGAACAGGCGGTTGTGTCGAATAAAACAGGTCACCGCTAAGCAGGAGCCACGGTCACCCCGGCGCAGTGTCCGAGACAAATCCTCTGCCCGGAGCTGAAAACAGCAGTTTTTTCTGGGTCGGAGGTATAATCACTGTCGAGCATTCCTGTGCCAAGGGAAAGTAAGAGTGAAAGGCTGCTTTTCAGAATAGTTCTCCCTCGCGTTGCTGTGCGCAGGTCTGTCTTGCTATCTGTCAATTCAATTAGCTGCTGTCCTGACAGCGGGGGTGATAGATGACACTTTAAAAATGCACATTGCGGTGAGTTCGCCGGAGCCTGGAGGAGGCTTGTCTTTCTCAACGACTGATCAGGGGACCACGCAGGACCGTGGATGTCGGGGCGACTCTGGTCCAGTTCAGTGCCCGGGGAGGAAGGCCGGCAAGCCAGAAGGGAGCTCTGCGGTGGTGAGGGGGCGGGGGAGCAGAAAGGCAGACGACCCTGTTTCAGATTTGGAGCGTGGGAGGAGCTGGCTCCGAGGAGAAGCGTCCTGTGCCCCCAGCCAGCAGCACCTGGCACCTTGATGAACGGCGTTGCCGACTCAGCCCATCTGCTGCGTCCTGCGGAGACGTGCACATCCATGCGTGATGTGAATTTGGCTTTAAGAGACAGGTAGACAGACAGCGGTGGAAGGATAGCCCAAAAATCACCCAGGGTTTTCAAGGGGCTGTGTGCTGATTGGGCCCTTCTTGGAAAAGGAAACCTCAGTAGAGAATCCCCGCGAGCAGGGAGGGTGGCCTGTGCTGCATCTTCTTCGCATTTCTTATTTTTGCGCACAAATAGATGCCCTGGGAAAGCCGGGTGACTCCCACCTGCTCCCAGCAGGCGCCTCTGAACCCCGTTACTCCAAGCCCATCTCAGGCCTGAACACATCCTATTGTCTATCCTAATTAACTGCTAAGTTCTCTGAAAGTCACTTCCTTCCCAGGAAGAACTGATAGGACTTGGCGACCACACCCCCTTCCTTATCCCTAAGGGAGGATGGTCTTATCTCCCAGATCTGGGCCCCGCCCCCCAAAGGCACGAGTTGGAGCAAAACCCTCCCTGGGGGGCAGGTCCAGCTCTGTCTTTTTTTTACGTTGTTTTCTTCCATTGTCTGTGTCTTGATTATTTACTGCTAATATACGAAGCTTATTTCTTTGCAAGAGACAAAAGCACTCAGTTCCCTGTGTCCCAGCGTCTTCTCGGCACAAAGCCCCGCTCAGTGGACATGTTTCTTGCGGGCTGGTCCTTTGGAGCTACTCAACATCATTTTGATGGCAAGAATAATCCATCCATCTGGAGAGTTACAAAGATTTTTATGCTTTATTGTCATTGCATCCAAGAGCAGGACTGACTTATTAATTTGTAGATAAGAATTATACTCCAGGGCAACTAGCCTGAAGTGGATAGAAAACACTCAGGGGGTGGGTGGGTGTTACCAGGTTGGCCGTGGACTCAGCACCATCTCAGAACATAGCCCCTGGCGGTGCCAGCGTGACCGGGACTCCTCACGAGTCATCCTTGGCTGCGCCCCCGAGCGGGAGCTGCTAGTGTCATCCTGGACACATGTGCGGGGGACAGGGCGCTTGGGCGAGCTGCAGGGCCAGCCCCATGCCTGCCCGGGATGGAGCGTTCCTGGGAGTCTGGCGCGGCCCTTACAATCCTTGTGCCTCAAGACGCGGGCGAGGGCGTTGGTCACAGAGCTTGTGACACGCCCGCGTGCAGGTTGGCGCTGGCTGCTGTGGGAGACGGGCCCGGCCTCAGAGGCTTACTCCGCAGGGGTGTGTCGCTCTTCCAGAGGGCACCTGCCCCCGGCAGCAGGTCAGGGCCCAGTGAGTGCCGGGCGCCCGCTCTCCTAGGACCCTGCAGCGCCCTGAGCTCAGCGGGCAGCAGGGCATAGAAAGGACGGAGAAGGAGCGTCTTCTGGAGGTCACTGCCGCCAGAGCCCGTCAGCCAGGAGTGACCACACCACACCTGCTCTGTTCAGCGCCCACGGCCAGGAGTTAGCTGCAGGCCCACCAGGACAGGGCTGAGCCCCTCTAGTCCGTGGGGGGCGGGGGGGCGCCTGAATGCTGCAGGGAAGTTGCCCTGCTCCCCCGCGTCCCTGCGGCCCTGGCATTTCAAGGGGAGAGCTGGGCCCGCGGGGGGGGGATGGTGGGGGGGGCGCTCCGTCCTCTCAGCGCTGTGCTCGGGGGACGGCGGGGGGCCCCTCACAGATCCCATCGCCGCGCCGGTCAGCCCTGCCCTCGGAGGGGGCCGCGTCCTCAGAACCACAAGCCCCGGCCTGATCCACTCGCTCCTCTTGTAAATTTTCTCCTGAGCGTCCATGGAGGCCACCGCGTGCTCGCGGGACAGCTGCAGAGCCTGCAGATGCGCACACAGCCACTGGTGATGTCTGTGAGGAGACTGTCTAAAGGTGTTGATTTAAAAACCATCAAAGATGAACACGGGGTTTTTCTTTGGACAAAGCACCTCCTGGTGGGCCGTGCTGGCGGCGCCAGGGAGGGTGTCGGGACGGGGCTGCTGGGGCTCCGGGCCAGCGCGCGGGGTGCGCGGCTGACGGCGGTGCTCGCCCACAGGTTCCCGTTCCCCATGGTGTTCAGCAGCTGCAGCCGGGAGGACCTGGAGGCCAGCCTGGAGAAGGGCGTGGGCATGTGCCTGTTCAACCTGCCCGAGGTGAAGCAGCCGTTCGGGGGCCAGCAGTGTGGGAACGGGTACGTGGAGGAAGGAGAGCAGTGTGACTGCGGCGAGCCGGAGGTGAGCGGCCTTTCCTGGAGCGTGTGCCTCCCGGTCTTTCTTTTTTTTAAGATTTATTTATGCATGCAAGAACTGGGGTACAACCCAGAAATGTGGGGGGGGTGAGAGGATTCACCAGAGACAGAGCGGGGGAAAACAGGCAGACCCGAAATCCACTGCTGAGGGGAGCAGCGGGCGAAGCAGGAGAGGTCTGCCGTGCCATGTGGGTAGCTCCCTGGCCAGGGATGGAACTCGTGCTGCAGAGGCTGCCAACAGCTTCACAGGTTGCGTCTTAACCCCTTGCGCCACCAGCGAGGCCCAACCTCCTCTTCTTGGTTGTTAAAGAAGGGGGATCCTGGAGGAGGTGGGGAGCAGACTGAAAATGCTAGAAAATTCAGGACAGAAAATTCAAGATGGCCACCTCGAAGCATCCCGAGTCAAGGCGGCCTTCTTGGATTTTAACTCTTGCAAGAAGTAAGTGGTTCCAGTCCTGAAAGAGATAAAGAATCATCTTCCCTGAAGGACACCGGTGCTGGGCGAGATGAGGCCACGAACAATGTCAAGGCCTTCAGCTTGGAGTCTGACAGAGAAGCAAGCCTTGGGGTGCTGTCTCCAAATGGCTAATAAGCACCATTTCTCTCTCTTTATAAGACGAGGACCAGAGGGGAATTTGAATAAGCAGCATTCATTTTTGACCAAGCACTTCCTGCCCAGTTGAAATTCTGCTGGTGCCTGCAGCCTCCTCTGTATGCAGGGCCAGAGGCAGGCGAGGCGGCCGCTCTCTGCTTGTTAGCTTTCAGAGGTAATAAGCAAGAGCAGGGAACATTTTATCCAGCAAAGGGCTTATTTAACCCTCTTTCCAGGCAATGTCAGGAAATTTTCTTGTTTCTGCAGGGCCCAAGATAAAGTTAATCAGCATAAAATGATAACAGTCCCTTTGTCAATGCTGAATAATCTTGAGAAGGAAAGGCAGGAGGAGGACACAGGGCGCCCTCCTGGGAACAGCAGTGTCCCCTCAAAGCCCGGGGGAGGCTGTGTCTAGAAGTCAAAGCAGCAGTGGGTCCCGCAGGCGATCTGCTGCGGGATTCCCTCCCCGGAGCTCCTGCCGGCTGAGCGGGTAGACACGTTCACAGCCGGCCAGCTAAGCTCACAGACAGGCTGATGAGGGTTCATGGAGAGTGGGGCTGGGGGTGGGGGGGCTGTGTTGAAAGGGGTGTCTGGGTGGAAGGAAAATTGTGCTGAGACTCTGGGTTACCCCTCAAACTCCTGTGTTCATCAAACAGCAGCTTCTAGAATGTTCATCAAATCCCACTCCCAAGTCTCTGAGGTTCATGCCAGCAGGGTCACGTGATCCTGGTCTTGGTCTGACCGTCTCTGCAGAAATGCTGGGTGTGAATAAGCCTGGAGGTGGTGGTAGAGATGCTTTTATCGAGTGGTCGGTGCCTTTGCCAAACTGGTGCGTGTCAGTGGTAACGGCTCCGTCCACAGCATTTCGATCCGCTCATGTCCAGCATGGAATGTTGCTGCCCTGGAACCAGTCCTGCGTGTGATGTTGCAGAAACTCCTCCAAAGATTAGAGGAGGAAAACTTTAAACATCACTACTATCCTCAGAGGGGCATAGCAGAGGGAGAATTCCTTGGAAGTTCTATTAATTACTTGAGGGGAAAAAACAAAATCACTTTAAATTACCCGTATCTCCCAGGAGGGACCCAGTTAACTTAAAATGGTTTCTCTTTGAACTCTTTGTAATTGTTCACTACAATTACTGAATAAATTAAAATAAACAGCTCTTCAGAAACCATGATTTCTCAGGCTGGGAATGACTACCTTAGCAGTCCTATTTGCCATTCACCAGCAGCATCGCCTGCTTCTCCATCCACCCATCATCACTATTAACACGACCGCTGTCAGCATCTCTACCTCCACCATGAGCACCATCTCTGCTGCTACCACCAGCATCACCACCACCATCACCACCACCATCATCACCACTACCATCATGTCAGCAAAGGCCCCAGTGTCTGAACTCCATCCAGCTCCGATGTTGTGATGCTCTCATCGTATCTCCTCCTTGGAGACACCCGACTGGGACAGCATGCTCATTGTCTCCAGCCCACACATCACATTGCAGGGCAGCTTGGATCAGATAAAATGCTTCCTCATGTAGAGCCAAATTCTACTGGCATGCAATTCCCAGCTTTTTTATTTCTGCGGTTAGGGTTATTTCATAGGATAAGTTCTTGGTATTTATAGGGAACTCTCATTCTCCTTAGAGAACTTGGAAGAAAGTTCTTTCTCCCAAGAAATCTTCCAAAGTCACAGCTTCGCCTTTCACCTCACTTTTTAGGGGGTTTGGTTTATTTTTCAAGGTCCAAGTTCAAACTATACTTAGTCATATGTCAGCCCATTTCCAATTTCCAAACTACCTCAACCAAGACTTTTCATCAGACCTGCCAATTGGAGCTCTTTGACCCTGGCCCAGGCCCTGGGACTATTCATAGTGCTGCTCCCTGGACCCCCAGAGGGGTCGTGTGCAGCCCCACATCAGGATCTGAACAGGGTCAGAGCAACTTCTCCAGCTCATGCTGCAGCCAGCTCTGCTCCCTTGCTCCCAGAAATAATCTCCACTATTTTCAAGAAGATGCATTATCATCTTATCCCAGCTCACAGTGATTAAGAATCTATGTCTACTACCTACAGCAAGAGAATGACAATTAGGGCATTTGCAGAGAATTCTCTAATGGCTTCATTATTCTCTCTACTGTGGAGACTTCATTGGCTCTGTTGAACTTCTCTATCGAGTACTAAAATGATAGATGTATCAGCAGAGGAAGAATTTGTCTCCTCTGATAAATACAGTCCTGCAGAAGAAAACGGCAGGCGACTACTGAAGGCCTCCGTACAGGGCATTGGATTTACATCAGCCATAAGGATAGGCTGACAACTCACTCATTCTTCCAGCTCACAGCCTTGGGAAAGTCGCCTTATCTCCTTGTTTAAAGTCAATAGGATGCCAGTAGCTTGCAAATATTCTTTAAACTTAGTTATCTTTCTCACATTATCAATCCCCTTTGAAGTCAAAGCCATCCTACTTGGCTGCATTTCCCTTTGAGTTGATGCTTATATTATTTAGTGACTTAGCAGGGTGAGGAGGTGGTTCTTAAAGGGTCTTGGGAACCCAGTTGTAGGACAGTTGGTTTAATTAGGCATTCCAGACCTGTACCTTGGCCGATGTGTCATCCCCAGAGCCGTTGAGACCCTAATGAGCAGGAGGACGCGGCTGGCCTTTGATGGCATCAGAGGGTGGCAGTTAAGGGATCCTTTGAAACAAAACAACTTCCTACACTTTCAGGATTGGAAACAGGAGTTAGGAACCCTTACTGTCATGAAAGTTACAGCAATGACTTCTAGTTGGCAGCTTTATCTTATGTTTATCTTATACGCTCCGGATGTATATAAAGTCCTTAAACAAAGTTGAAGTGCAATAACACTGGATGTATGTACAATAGCAACAAATGCTTAGCGCGAAATGAGAGCATCACACAGAGTTTTATGTGGATCCAGTTCCGATTTCCAGGTTCGCCAGATGTCATCAGTCTGATCCCTGATAACATTTTACAAATTGCATTTATGATACTAGTGAAAAATTTATGAAAGGTGGTTGTCAGGAGTAAACTATGAAGCTGTTAAAATCGAGTATATGGTTGGCTTCACTCTAGCCCACAGTATGTAAATGCAACACACGCAGTGGATAGAATAAAAGGTCACTGATCAATCAGTACAGGAGAGCCTGCAAACTCTTCCTTCTTATAATTCAATTTCTTCTAAAGTGTCTCAACTCCAAGTACTGAAAGTTCTCGAGCACAAGATTCTATAAGCACTCTAGATGGGCAGGCATCGGCCTCTTCTAGAGAGCTAGACAAAGGGGATCAATCTTGTTTTGTTAGAAAAAGTGGGTAGGGCCTCCCCGGTGGTGCAGCGGGTTGAGTGCCGCACTGTGAAGCTGTCTGCAGCCTCTGCAGCGTTGGTTCGATTCCCGGCTGGCCGGCAAGGGTCCCACATGGTGCGGCAGACCTCTCCTGCCTCGCCCGCTGCTCCCCTCAGCAGTGTACTTCGTCAGTCTGCCTGTTCTGTTCCCCGCTCTGTCTCTGGTGAATCCTCTCACCCTCCCACCCCTCCGGTCTGTACCCCAGTACTTGTACAAATAAATAAAAAATAAATCTTTAAAAACAAAAGAAAAAGAAAAAGTGGGTACTTCTGAAGCACAGCATAATGAAGGAGTTCATTTCCTTCCTCACTGTTATTCAGAGGGGACAAGACATCAGGGTTTGCTCCCCCTGGTTAAATCCCTTGCAGTCCACAGGCACAGCCCAGGGGCCTCCTTCGGGCCTCTTGTTCTTTCCTCACCAGGTCAGAGCCGCCCCTGCCGGGCCAGGCCTCCTTGACCCAGATTTGGTTGGGTTGCGGGGAACAGTGGCTCAAACTTCATTTCCTGCCGGAGTGCTCTAGAATGAGGCAGGCTCTGAAGAGTAGCGTAGGGCTGCCTCTCTATTTTTAAATAAGTCGATATTTCTGCTACGATTCTTGCAATATGACCTGCAGTAGCAGGAGATTCCCCTCCAGAAAGCCCCAGTCCCGCTGAGCTGACTGGCCCCCTGGCCAGCCTGCCTGCCCCCGACCCCTTCATGAAAGCCACTCGGTGCTTCTGATGCGCCCGGGACCCCAGGCAGCTCATGGCACCTACAGAGGCTTTGCTTTCTAGCGGAGGATGTTGCGCCTCGGGCTGGTTTCGGCTCCAGAGCCAGCCCTCGGCTCCGGCCTCCTCCTTTGCAGTCGCTTCTGTGTTCCGTGGGCAGCAGCCGCCGGGCCCTGCCCCACGGTCCCGTTCCCTCTCCAGGAATGCACCAACCGCTGCTGCAACGCCACCACCTGCACCCTGAAGCCGGACGCCGTGTGCGCGCACGGGCTGTGCTGCGAGGACTGCCGGGTGAGCCCCCGGGCGCCGTGCGGCGGCCCCACGCCCAGGCGGGCGAGCTGGGGAGCGGCCGCCCCAACCCCCTGCGGGAGCCTAGCCCCTCATCACATTCATGGTATCAGCGACCCCCCATGTCATAACCGGGTGTGACCCTCCCATTTAATTGCTGGTATCTGTGATCATTTGTGGGTGGGATAGAAAGGAACTGAATCAAAACCCAAACTTGACAGGAAACGATCCCGCTGGGCCGCTGGCGGCAGCTCTGGTCCCGTCCCCTGTCCCCGTGCCGGGGCGAGTGGAGCTCAGTCCCCTTCACACAGTGTCACGCTTGGCACTGCTGCTGACCCCCAAGAACGGCTGCCTGCTGGGGCGCTGTGTGTTGTTCCAGGGACTCTGAGCACGGTGAGCCTGACGTGCTCCTGGGGAGGTGCGGCCGGGTGATTTGAACCTTCGGCCATTCTGCCCCCACGCCTGCCCGGTCTGGGCAGCTCCGCGGTGGGCCTCGTTATTCAGAGCCGAGCCCGGACAGGAGAAGCCTGAGCTCACGATTCGGAGGCTCCAAGGGCCGAGTCTTATTTCCTCTTTAATTAAGCAAGTGATCTCGGCATCCCGACCGGGGGACCCCCTCTGGCCGCCTCTCACGTGCACGGAGTTGCGCATGGCGGTGCTCCACACTCAGCTCTAAGATGCCCTCCCTGCCCTTGCTGGGATGACCCGGTGGGGGTATGAAAAGAATCTGGCCCCAGCGACTTGCAGAAGCGGGTGGTGCCAGGGACTGAGCAGGAGTGAAGGAAGCAGGACTGGGCTCCCCTCCAGGTGACCCCGGACATCAGGGGTGGCTCCGTGGCTGTGCCCGGAGTGCTCCCCTCTCCCCCCGTGGCTTTTAAACAGTTCCTGTCAGCTCAGACCTTCCAGAAGGCATGGGTGTCTGGCTTCATTGCCTTGGGGAGCAGGCAGGGAAGGAAGCCCAGGATGGGGTGTGGAGCGCCCAGACAAGCCCCTCTGGTCAGATGGGCCTCATTTCTCCGCCTCCTCCGCAAAGTCCCGCAGGCGGATGCCCAGCTCTGGGGCCGGAGGCAAGCCCAGAAACTGTGAAACCGCTGTTGGGATTGTGTCCCCGGAATTCCTCCAGTCACCCTGCCCACGAATGCTGACGCCCTAAATCTTCCTCTTAAACCCGGCATCTTTTCCTAAGAGTCGTGCTCCCAGGCTCACTCCGCTGCCCCTCCTGGTGAGGTGCGGGGCGCCCTCTTGTCTGCTGCTCAGAAAGCCCTAATGTTGCAGGAACGTGAAGAGAGGCAGCCCCCACCCCCACCCAGACTGGAGTGGAGACCCGGAGCCCAGAGCGAGCCCCTGTTAATTTAATGAGCGCCCCAGGGTGCCGCTGAGACTGGCCGCCCCGCCCCATCGGGCCCGCCATGACACCCTCTCCTTGCAGCTGAAGCCCGCTGGGACAGCCTGCCGGGGCGCTAGCAACTCCTGTGACCTCCCGGAGTTCTGCACGGGGGCCAGCCCCCACTGCCCGGCCAACGTGTACCTGCACGACGGCCACGCGTGCCAGGGCCTGGACGGCTACTGCTACAACGGCGTCTGCCAGACCCACGAGCAGCAGTGCGTCACGCTCTGGGGGCCAGGTAGGTGGCTGTGCCCGGCTCGGGGCGGGGCGCGGGGGCAAGTGCTCCGTTTCTGGAAGCCTCGCTCCGAGCACGCACCACGCACTGTCGAAGGAGCTTCCTTGCATTCAGGGGAATGCGTGGTTGGCTGGGGGGCTGGGGCCATGCTGGGCACTGGGGTGCCCCGAGGAGCTCAGTTTGTACCCCATGGGGTAACAGGGAACCGTCAGTCATGACTCCTGCCCTCGGGCTAACGGGTAGTTGGACAAACAGACCTTTCATCACTACTCTGATGGAGTAAGAGCTCAAACCAGGAGTGGCTGCAGCTGAAAGGTGGGGGCTGCCTGGGGCACCCCAAGCAAATGATGTGGGAGCAGCAACAACCAGGAGAGCCAGGGAGGGAGCTGTAGTGCTGCCAGGAGCAGCAAGCGGCTTTGAGGGGTGACTCAGAGGGCCGGCTGGGGTGGGGCCCTGGGCGCGGGAGCTCGGAGCAGCAAGGTGGGAGACACAGGTGCAGGCCCTGAATGCCATTTTGGTTCTCAAGGCAGAGGTGCGGCCTCGTGTGCTCCAGACAAAGCACCGGGTATGCAGGGCCAGCCAGGGGCTGCTGTCCCCCTCACTGCTCCCTACCTGTGGACCAGGTGCCCAGTAGGGCTGTCTCTTGAGGCTCTCCAGCCACCCCCTGGGGGAGGCACGATGTTACCAGGCTGTGCAGGGTGAGCCTCCAAGTCGCCTCGAGGCTGACAGCCAGTTTCTGAGGCCTTGAGGCCAGGATTTGTGCCCAGCTCATCGTGACCCAGGGCCCACATGTCACCCTGACACTATGCAGGACTGTGATCCGGAGAGAGCCCGGCACACAGGTGGCTCCATGTAGGGGGGCAGCACAGGCCACATGCCCAAGGGGTTGCCAGAGCTTTGGGAGAGGAACGGTGTGTCCTGCGTGAGCAACAGCACACGGAACAGACGCCGGGACAGTTCTGCTGCTGGAACGGGGACGTGACCTGGGGGGCAGGCTCCTCTGCTACTCCATTTTCTCACTTGTTCAGTATCTGTCCATGTGCTGCTAGTGTAAGGCGCTGACTCAGAGCCCTGACTCCCCCGTGACGTCTGCCCACAGCCCCAGTGCGCTGCCCTGGGCCTGGGCTGGTCAGGATGTGACCGTTACACTCCCGGGGGCGGGGGACTTCCTGGCCAGGCCGCCGGCCAGCTCGCTGCAGGGGGGAGCATTTGAAGGCTGTTCCTGTGGATGATTAGCCTCCACTTTTCCGTGATTCAGAAAAAGAGGACGTGATTGTCGAGGAGGCCCCTCAGATCTTGCTCTCTCCGGCGCTGGCCAGTGCTCGGGACTCTGGGTATTGTCTGCTCAGGGTCATCTCAGGCCCCACAGGAGGCCCAGGGACTCGGAACTGGAGGTGTCAAGTGGCTCTTGCTCCACTGGCCCTGCCAGCTCCCCCACCCACAACCCGGTCACCCTGTGAAGTCATCAGAAACCGGCTCCAGCACAGACACCAGGCAGGTGGAGCGCTTCCTTCCAGCCACGTGACTCCCTTTTGAAATGGGCCTTTCTCAGTCCAGCGCTGTCTCAATGAATCAATCCTCCTTCCAAATCTTGCTATAATTAAAACAATAGAAAATTCAAAACATATGCCCGCAGCTCCTAACTGGCAAAGTAAGATACTCGTGGGCACCTTTTGTGTTCTGTTTGCTTATTTGTTTTTCTAGTTCCTATTGTTGGGTTTTGTTTTTTGTTTTTTGTTTTTTAGGTTTGGTTCTGTTTTTATTTTGGTCTTGATACCTTACATGTTTGTTACAAAAAATTCAAATAGGAATGTTGGGCCTCCCTGGTAGCTCAGCGGGTTGAGCACAGCGCTGTGAAGCTGTCCGCGGCCTCTGCAGCGCAGGTTCGATCCCGGCCGGCCAGGGAGATACCCACATGGCGCGGCAGACCTCTCCTGTCTCGCCCGCTGCTCCCCTCAGCAGTGTGTTTCGGTCCTTCTGGCCTGTTCTGCTCCCCTGCTCCATCTCTGGTGAATCTGCTCACCCTCCCGTGCCCCCGGCCTGCACCCCAGTGCTTGTATGAATAAAAATAGTTTAAAAAAAAAAAAGACAAATATGAATGTACTATTGAGAGCAAAAATGCTCAGGGAAAATTACTGTTAGCAATTTGTTACCCTTGTCGATTTGTTCTGTGCGTATATCCGTGTTTGTACATTTGCAGACATCTGTGGCGTTCATGAAGTCCTGCAGCATTTCCACCTAAGACTCTCAGATAAACTACCCTGGGGCTGTGCATGGCATCCTCTTAAAGTACTAACTACATAGTAGTCTTTTATTTTTTTTTATTTTTTTTTTATAGAGTCATATTTATTTATTTATTTTTATTTGTTTGTTTGTTTTTTTTATACATGCACTGGGCACAGTCAGAAGCGTGGGAGGGTGAGAGAATTCACCAGAGCCAGAGCGGGGAGCAGAGCAGGCAGAAGGACCGAAGTACACTGCTGAGGGGAGCCCCGGGCGGCAGGAGAGGTCTGCGCGCCATGTGGGACCATCCCCGGTGGCCGGGGAGCAGCCGGGGATTGAACCAGCGCCACGGAGGCCGCAGGCAGCTTCGCAACCCAGTGCTCAACCGCTGCGCCACCGGGGAGGCCCTACTAGTAGTCTTTTAAATAGATTTTTTTAAAGATTTATTTATTTATGCATACAAGAGCTGGGGTGCAGGCCAGAGGTACAGGGGGTGAGAGGACTCACTGGAGAGAGTGGGGAGCAGAACAGGTGGATCTAAATAGATGTTTTTAATTTAACTTCTACTGATAGACAAATGTTACCTAACACTTTATCAAGTCCTGACAGTGATCTGCTGGGTATTATATAATGTGTATATCTGGGCAAGCATTTCTGTAGCCTGAATGGCTAGAAATAGAATTGCCTGGTCAGATGATGCACACATCTTAATTATTGAGGGATTTCTGCCCCCAAAAGTTACAGCAGTTTACAACTCCAACAGTGTGCGGCCCGGAGTGAAGGGGAGGGGAAGGAATCATCAGCATTTTTAATCTGTTACTCTGAAGGGGGAAATACCTAATTTAGGAAGAATTTCTTTACCAGTGGGGCTGAGCATGCGCTGTGCAGCCATCCCAGGCCGGCAGGTTCATCCTCCATTCTCACAGAGGACAAGAGAATTCTGGAGCCCTCGGTATCATTTTATAGGCCTTTAATGCTGAATCCGGAGACAGAACCCCTACCTGAGCTCAGAAACTGAGCCCCTAGCCTCAGAGGGACCCCCCCACCCCAGCTGAGCAGCCCCTTTCTCCTGGTGCCTCCTGGGCCCAGGTGCCTGCACTTACATATGCGCACGTCCCGTGCTCCCGGGGCCCAGGCATCCATAACCCTGGGTGCACGCACCCCGCACCCGCACCTCTTGACCCAGCAGCCAGTGCCGCCCCGGAGGCGTGGAGACCACCGCTCCAGCTGGCAGCGGAAGGGCAGAACAGAAACTTGAGCCTCTCCATTTTCCCCACAGTATTCTAGTTCCCTACAGTTTTCTTGCTTCCTGGCTACTGGTCTCGTCTCTCTCTTGGTTCACGTTGTTGACTGGTTTTCCTGTTTGCCATTTCAGTTCTTATCAAGGACTGCACATCATGCTTTGAAGAGCTAACATTTCTGCAGGGTTTTAAAAGCAGACGCCACGAACCCCCTGCCCTGCCCAGTCCCTGGGTTTTTTTCTGCCTCTGCTCTGTGGTTTTATTTTTCATATTCTCTGTAGATTTTTTTAATGATATAGTCTATTAAAATAATTATTTTTATTGCGATAACCTTAGTTTACAACACTGTACATAATCTGGGGATACAGGTTCCCACCTCTCCAGAAGTGTGTCCACACCCCACCTACCACCAAGGTCCCCACCATCCTCTACCACAGCCCGCTGGGCCCTCTCCCGTGTGCCTCAGGTCTGCAGGCAGATTGGTTTTGTTTTGTCTGTTTTGTTTATCGCCTACAGCTGAGTGAAAACATCCAGCATTTGTCTTTTTCCTTCTGACTGACTTCACTTAGCATCCTTCCTCCAGCTCAGTCTGTATTGGAGCCCGCCAAATGGCAAAATTAAGATTTCATCCTTTTCATAGCTGCGTAGTATTCCACTGTGTATGTGGACCATAGCTTAACCTACACATCTCCATTGGTTGTTCCCATGTTCGCCTATTGTCAATAGTGCTGCTTGAACATACGAGTACAGATATCCCTGAAAATTAGTGTTTTGTATTCTTTGACTACAAAGAATGGAATTGCCAGATCATATGGCAGATCTTTTTTTAATATTTTGAGAAACCTCCAGGCTGTTGTGGGCCCATCTGCCTTCCCACCAACAGTGCACGAGGTCTCCTCTTCCCCACCCCCTCAACAAGCCACACCTGTTGCTCTCCGTGTAGGTCATTGAGGTAACATTAGTTTACAATGCTGTATAGGTTGCAGGTGTACAATGTCTCACCTCAGCAACTCTATATCAACCACGGATGTTCTTGTTAGGAATTTAGATTCTGTGCACGCAAATTTTTCTCTCACACGTCTTAGATCTTCAGACTTTATGTGTTGATGTCAAACACATAAATGTTATCTGTAGTTCACACTGTGTAACTATATTTAACTCTCTTTGTCCACGCTAGTCTTAATAGCCACAAAGATTTTCTGTCAATGTGACGTGACCTTTAGTCCTTCTGAAATGCAGCTGGGTATTTTTCTCCAGGTAGAAAATTGACTCCTGCCTCTGTAATTTATCTGAACACCCAGCACAGTTACTGGAGGCGTTTCTTAGAGATTCACCTTACAGTAGCTGCATGTCTGGAGCCACAAACACTTTGCATCAGGAAAATCCTGAAATATACAAGTTTTATCTATTTTATCATGGACCAGAAAAGAGCACCACGTGACTGATGTGGCGACTGATGTGGTGTGAGCTGGGCCAGACCCTTTGGATGGGCTGGTTAATCTTCGGTGTTTACCTGCAGGGCTGGATTCGATGTGTTTT